ATTTGTTTGTGCTAATTAAGGTCGAAGTACAAATTCTTTTAGCAGCTCCAGAATTTTTCGTATCCATATGGTTAGGAGAAGAAGTTAAAGTTTTCATATTGAAAAGAGAGAAGGTTTCGGGCCCGACCGCCCCCACCCACCATGGAGCCCAACAAGGGAACACAGATCCCTGTGTTAGGGCTAGCCGGGCCTATACGCAAACTGAAGCCCCACAGTCGGCTTTCCCAAAAGCGGAGACTTCCGAGAGCTTATCCCCTAGCCACTGACCAATAGGACTAGTGGCCAGCCGATTGACACTAGCGGGGACAGCTAAGTGCCTCCCGTTTTAAGTAGAAGCAGAGGCCAAAGCAGTGTGTTGGGGACAGTACCTCGCCCCTCAACTGCCAGGATCCTCCTTTCCCACCCTACGGGTCACCATGCACGGCAAACGCATAGGCGGTATTCTCACCATGGTGAGACAGAAACCAAGAGTAGTAGCTGCATCTCACAGTGAGCCCCAACCTCCAGTAGAGGAAACCACAAGGGAGAAAAATAGGAGAGAGAGCTAGACAAGAGGAGAGGAAAGAGAGGAGGAAAGGTCACTGGGGCCCCGGGAGTGTGATACCCGATCACCAAGACGGCAATCCCCTGAGGGTTCTTCACCTGCTATGCTTTAGCTGGGCATGTTGGAACGGCCTTCACGCCTAGGGTGGCCCTACCAGGAGCTATGCTCCCGACGTACTTCGCCCGTTCCGCCCAGTGACACCCCCCGCCACGTTGAGGCAGCATAGACGAGTTGGGGGGGACACGTCGCGCCCGCTTCAGCTCTGCTTTCGCCCTCTGCCTACCTCCCAGCTGCCCTGTAGCGTTCGTTCGGTATCTTGCTAAGCCTATCCTGGACGGACGGTAATACTCCTCGGCCAGCACCTCATTCACGTACTAACAGGACCGGCGAAGGTGTGCGCAGTTTCTCCCCCTTCCTCCCCAACAACCCCCTCCTCCTTCTCCGGATTTCAAAACCTCTCTCAGAGACTCTCCTAAAACGACGGGGCAAAAGGAAAGAAGGCTCTTGGACTAACCGGCGGCGAACGAACCGCGCTGCGAAACACCGCGCTAACGAACGCTGGGCGAACGAACGCGCTAAACGACCGGCGGCGAAACGGACCGCGGCGTCGAACTAACTCTCTTCGAAACAACCACCTCGAAACTAACCGCGCTCGAAAAACCGCGCTCGAAACGAACCGCTCTTCTAAACGAACCTCTCTTCGAAACTAAAACTCTCGGTAAAAGAACCGCGGTCTAAAACTCCCGCGCGGGCTAAACGAACCGCGCTGCTAAACTAACAGCTTCTCAACTAACGCTCGGCTAACGAACCTCTCTTCTAACACCTATGCTAAACTAACCTCTCTTCTAAACTAACCTCTCTTCTAAACTGACCTCTCTTCTAAACTAACCTCTCTTCTAAACTACCTCTCTTCTAAACTACCTCTCTTCTATCTATATTCTATTATATTCTATCATTAAAGAAAACGGTAAAGATTTAAAAAGGTCACAAAATCAACGGCCTAGCTTAATGAACAGCATTCATTTTTTTTCCAGGACACTCATTAAGTGCTGTTTTGATGACAAACTTCTTTAGAATTCTTCATACTGATTATGGGTGTAATGGCTTTAGAATTTCTGCTCTCTCATTCGTAAAGAATTTGGTTTCGTTCCGATGATCGTCGAGCACTTGGAAGTTTTCGTGGAGGATTTCAGAAAGTTTCCTATTTATGTTGCACATGGAAGAAAACCGCTAAATAATCGCGCAGCCAACCCGTTCCCCGATATTTGAACACGAGTTAAAGTACCAGCGTTCAACTGGAACCTTTGGTAGGCCAATTTTTCTTGCGACGTGAATGATTAGGCTTACTTCTTAAATTAACTCCAAGACTTCCATTTCCGTTCCAAGAATAATCGCTTTCAAAAGAGCCTACATTGTATAATTTACGGCATAAGATGAAGGCGTGTTTTATTGCTCATTAGTAATATAATTACTATTTAAAAACTTAGAGCAAATAACAAATCAGAGCAAATAACCCCTTCTTTGCCAGCTTTACGGTATTTGTTCGATCTACGCTGTTCTAGGCCTGAGTTATTTTTGGGACAGTCTAACACGACATAACATTCCTTCAAAAGTTCTGGTCTTGTTCATGTTAACGAGTCAGATTTAAATACAGAAACTATTCTGAAAAGCAAGAAATAACCCTTATTAATTTCGAACCTCATGAACAGTGAACAATATTGTACGTAGGACGTCGAATTAAGTATTCAAAATATAATGAGAGATTACTTGCTGGATTTATCATGGGAACACTAAACAGAAAGAAACAATTTCTATATAAATGTATTCTGTAAAAAGGTCTTCACAAAATGTAGTGTACTTGAGTAAACTCGCTTAATGAAACAAAGCAATATGCATGTTAGTTGTAAATGAATTTGCTTCCACATCAAGTTAAAGTATGTATGCATTCTACAGACGTTGTGCCCCCCTTACCACCAACAAAACTAATCTGCCAAGAGCTGAATGGAAAAGAACGTTGATCACTCGCAGTGTTTCACGGGTTCGACTCCCGCAACTACATTAGCTATCTGAATGAGGGTTTTTCCTCATGTGTGATGTGGCAAGGAGCTAGTTTCCTTTAGGAGGGAGAGAAAGGGCTTAACGTACAGAATTTAGGGCTGCTTTAACCCAGTATAGCCTAAGAATTAACTTTTATATTAAACATTTGACGACTAAAATTTTTAATTCACAATCTAGCAGTTTTTACATTAATAACAAAAGATAAACAATTGGGTTATAATTAAGCAAGAACACAAGAAAGTTTCAGAGATTGTTTTATTTGTGTGGATTTCAAAAATATACGAGCACTTGAAATTAAACCCCTTGACATTTTAACCTTGCATCACCCTTGAGAACGCTCATTTTCTAAGAAAAGCAAGCAGCGATTAAATGCAACTGCATCTCAAAAGCTTTTAAAATTATCGTACGTTATCAATGAATTTCGAATTTGCGAAGCGATAAGGATTTTGATTAGTCTTTTCAATTCCTCCCATTTCATAGAATTTCAAAAGCAGGTACTAAGCAAAAGCTTTGAGACATTTATAAGCTATTATATAAATTGTCTATGCAAGAAGTTTACGCTGTTCAGAACAATCTATTAAAAGGAAACTAGCCTGTTGAGGGGATCACCAAGAGGCAAGTAAAGAGAAACGCTGTATAGTTGCGCTTTTAAGATAAAATAACTCTTGAAACATACTTTAGCTGAGTCTGTATAATCGCAGAATTAGAGAGATAGTATTAAATTTTTCGAGTTAAGAGATTTCTGCCAGATAGGTAGCGTACTTCCTAAAGCTTCTAAAGATAAGGGAATAAAATAGCTTACAGCAATGTTTAAAATACGCTCGATTTGCGGGCGAAACTGCTGGATTTAATAACTGAATGTTTCAAGTCTTACGAGAAAAGGAAAATTCGTTATAAAGCATTTTAAGTTTCACTTTCACCAACTTCCAGTAATGTATTGAGCATTTACAGGAAACTCATTTGTTAAAAATTTTAATATATAACAGTCAATTGCCATGTCGAAAATAAAGACAATTTAAAACAAATTTCAAATCATTTTAAAATACCAAATCATTTTAAAATCATTTTTAAATTATAAATTATTAATATTTTGAAATAAGTACATTTCTAACAGAAGTTAAAATTTAGTCTATTTTATTCTTCAACGCGGCGTTTCCTTCAGCTCTGAAATACTGGTTATACCCAGAAAAAAATGGGAAAGTTATAACTACATTTAGACCTCAAGATTTCCAAAACTAGATTCGAAATAAGATGCAAGTTTATTTTGGCGAAAACAAAAGTGCTTAATCTAGATAAAGAAAAAACAGTTCAAGGTTCAGAAATAAGCAGAAGTGATGGGATTAAAATGTGGGAGTGCTTTATTTGCTATAAGATCTGGCAACCATATATGGAGCCCTGGCTTTCAGGAGTAGGAGTTAAGATTCGTAGGCGCAAGTCATTTTACGGAAATTCGCGCGGAAAAACTTTGGTACAGAAAAAATTGAATTTGTTTTTACTCTTGAATGAATATTGCATATATACATAATCTAACGACGATCTTCGACCAAGATTTAACAGAGTATTTTATACGAAAAAAATTAACCGAGATCTTATTTGTGGAAAATGTTAGTAGCCACTTAATGTCAAGGGATTTAAAAGTAAACCTTCAAAATGCTAAACTCGCTACTCAAAACTCAACTGAAAGTCAATACTTACTCAAAAATCTTTTCTACTTTATACAATATGATTTAATACAACATCACTTATAGCGAACAGAAAAACTTATCTTAAGACTAATACTCAAGTTGTAAAAGTAAAATGAAAACCCGAAATTCTATGTCTCGATATGCATCATATTCATTAAAAGTAAATAAATATAAGATAATTAATAGCATCAACGTTTGTTTGCCCAACAGGATGGATGTTTTTGCAGAGCGCTTACTTTTGAAATGATCGTAGTTACGTTATATAGAACGGCCTGGCGCCGTAGCTGTTAAATAGCTGAAAAGTCCAAATGCCAGTGTTCTGCAGTAGTAGCCACTCTGCAGCTTCTCAATAACATTCACAAGTGACTAATATGATCAAGACCAATAGATACCATGATCATAACTGTATCTAAACTTGAGTGTTTTAGAAGTAAAAGGTATAGAAATAAAAGCTACTCTATAAATACATAAAACAAAGTAACAATAGGCAAGATTATGTGAATTAAATGCCCTTTGTTATTTCAAATAATTCACTTTTGAAGTTTTTTTACTTGTTGTATACCCTAAATTCTTCCATCAAATACGTGGAAAATGTGAAATGAATATTATTTTCACCATTAAGCATCTTACCATCTTGGCATTCTGTTTTTGCTATTCAAAGCCTGATTATTGCAATGTCGATACTGCAAGTTAGTCTCGTGTTTCACAAAATGTAAAGCTCAGCATTATTAGATTTATTTATTGGAAAACGTTAATAAAATTAACAATTTTAACTGTATATATATAGGTATTCAAATAAAATCCAGTCGTACAATTTCTGAAGTTTACAAGATTTAAAGAGAAGTTTAAAAAGTTTAAAAATAAAGTCACGGTTAACAGGCAGCTGTTTTCACTTGAATTTAGACTTCAGAATTTTAGCATAATCAATTCCTTGCGATGGCTGCGCCATTAGAGCTCGTGGACCAGCAAGAGCAAGGTAATGGTTCATACTATCGCTTGGATCTTCATGTCTGATGAAAGCATGGATATTAACAGTTCCTAAAATCAAAAGTAACATAATTAGAATCAAATCATTTTTAAGTCACTACAAAAATTTTGCTTGCTGTTAAGGCCTAGAGCTTAATTCTTCAAAACAGATCGCTCAAGACCTACTTAAAAATATTGGACTTTGCTCTTGTGAGGCATAAAAACATGTCAAAAGCTAATCTTATTTTAAGCCGAAATTACCTCTTAAAGTATAGCTCATGTTTATCTAGTTGCCATAAGGTTTACCAATTTGAAGTTAACTGCAGTCATGGAGTTCAGTTATCAAAGATACAAAATTAACAATTAAATTTATCGCATAAAAAATTTCTCACTGTGCAGAAAATAGCTGGAATCATTACATACCAATACTGGTAATCTTATCCACTTTGACAAATCCCGATGCACCTTTGTACTGATAAAGCTTTATTTCGCCCATTTGAGAGTCTAAAGCGAAGAAAAGTAGTTCTCCCGTTTCCAAAACTATCCACTCGAGATCACCGTAATCTTTTATTTCCTGATATTTGTGGAACTGCTTGTCTATTGATGCTTCATACCTGCGCATAAAACAGATATAAAAATACGTTACATGACATTCCTGAGCATGTTAACAAGATTAATCACTTTAGAATTACTTGAATGGATTGAGATCAAAGATTAATTCACTGCGATAAATTTGAATAGGAAGGAAATTTGTTAGCTTAGTACGAGTTAAAATTCATACAAGAATTTCCGGCTAAAGGCGGACAAGGAAATTAAACAATACTTAGAGGCTCACTGTGGGAATAGCAAAATAAATGTTATTTAAAAAATTTTAATACTTTGTTAAAACACAAAATTCAATTCATAAAAATTTGATCAAAGAAAGGAAAGTTAACTGTCAATAGAAAAAATCTTAAAATACGAAATGATATCTACTCCAATATACACAGTTTGACTAAAGATGAAACTGAATATTAACTCGCTTTATTTATCAAACGTCACAAATACTGCAAAATGCACCATCCGCATTGCAATTAGATATTGCAAACAGCGACTAAAATATTTGGCAGCAAAAAACAAAGGCAGATAGAGGGGATAGAATTAAGCAGATATTGAGATTTTGTTATGGAATATGAGGGTGGAAATGGTACTTTCGAAAAGTATAGGTGTTGTGGAGATCCGTAGGTGAAAGCGGTCAGCTAGCGTTAAGTTTTCTATGCACTTTTCGAAATGGTATGCATGGTTACACGAAAGCAGAGCTAAATGATGAGCAATTATAAATAAAGGTGCAAACAGATTACTCATTTAGAGGACTTTTGAAAGCAGACGGTTACCCTCTGTATGGTAACGTTAGCCACTGCTATCAATAGCAGGCTGCAGTAAATCCAGACTTCCATTTGCCCATTTTATTAACTGTTGAAAATAAATTTGTACGTTCCAATAAGTTTGTTTTCTGTAGTTCTTGGGTTCGGGTGACTATAATCCCTGCGCCACAGTCCCATGGCTAACAGGAAAATCTCTCCATTAAGATTTCAGTCAGCATGGTATAACGATTATATTTAGCAGAACTAGTCTACTTAATGCTTTAAAGTAGCACATACGAAATCTTTCCACAAGAAATCTTGCTGAAACTTCTTTCTGATGTACCTCAGCTGTTCATTGGTTCCTGCGCTATGGATTGCGAGCACACTGCAGTAGTAACATCACAGATTACTTCGGCGGTACTTACGACCTTCACTGGATCAAACAGAGTAAATCTGCTCCTCGGGTAACTATTTCCAGCAGTGGCATGTCAGTGGACTAGAAGGGTTAGGTTAGTTACATAACATTTTAGGCATTAGCACTTTCAAGCATATTCTTACCCAGCATTTTAAAGAGCTAAAAACCTTCCTGAAGGAAAAGATTAGCTGCCTTAGATATACTGTTGACTTCTGGCCCGAGGTTGGGAGAATTCTCAACTTTCTCCCGATTCTTATAAGCTAAATTAACTTCTAGTGCTATACTTAAAACATTTGCGCGATTCGTTAAAGTATTCGTAAAAGTCGTATTTTCGAGCAACTGTAGTTAAAGGTTGAACCATTAAAACTTACTTCCTACCTTCTTTACACGCTATTAGTTCACCGTCAAATTTTTCGTATATATTCCATTGCAAAATATATTTGATTCCCTCAACCAGCCTTTACATTTTTGCCGGATGTTTTAGAATCACGCTATATATATATATATAATATATATATATATTTGGTTATAGCGAAGAGCAACTGTATATGAGTAATGATGGCTTCACGGAGAGCTTAAGAAAAATTGGCCCGCGTTTACTTTACTTATACTCGAGAAAACGCTCATGCAACCAGTTCAATATTCAAGCGCCCACCAGCGGCCGAGCGTTAAAATCGCTGACGGCTGGTATTTTAAACTTAGATTAATGATTACAGGCGAACGGGCTCGCTGCGTAGGCGTTTCGTGTTTCTCCCCGTGATTAACGTGAATACGAGACAGTTTCCCTTAGAAAATAGTCCATTAAGGTATCCCTTTCCCTTAGGAAGGTAGCCTTACCGTGCATCAAATAAACCACATTTTCAGCATGGAGGTAAGAAAGGAAGGAGTGGCCAAATCGCAATTAGAAGTGAAGCACTGCTCCGAAGCTTCAGTCACAGATGGGGTATTTTTTTGTTTACATTCAGAAGCGCTCCGATAGTATTTCGACACACGATAATTCCATACAAATCGAAAAACGGGACACTTCCGCATAAAAGAAACATTCCTAGCATGACTGGATTGGTTAGGTTATTCAATTATGGCAAAGCACACGAGGGCTATCTGCCTAATGGGAGGGATGCCTTCGTGGAGGACTTTCTAAGGGAAACTGGCTCGTATAAACGTTACACATGGGGAAAACCACGAAAGCACCCATGCAGCCAGCCCGTTCGCGGGATTCGAACATCCAATGTTCATCCTCGGTTCCTAGTATGATGGATAATAGGAATTTGTATAGTTTAGCGACATTTACACAAAATTCACATCTTGGTTATTTCGATAAAAACAAAGCGATTTTGATTATGATTTCTTTAAAATTCTAAGTGTTTTAAAAAAATAGATTTTAGCAAAAAGTTATGCTTAAAGAATGAAAATACCTCACCGTACCTTTAAAATTGTATAAATTTTTCGATACCCAATACAGTATCGTACATTTATGTTCCAAGACGCCCAAGTTTTAAATAAAATAAATTTTTTTTCACATCCACATATTTTGTAATGTACTTTTAAAATTAGTGTAATTACTTTACTCGAAAATATAGTGAATGAGATATTGAAGATTTCCACATGCCGGAAATGAAAATATGAAATAAGTATGGGTATTATGCATGTAGCCTTTAACAAAATACGTAAATATTTATTAATTTAAAATTATTCAAAGGAAGGATTTTTCATTATAATAACTGAAAGTTACTGCGAAGAATTAAATTTATCTAATTTATAATGATTATAAATATTATCTAAATATATATCCTTAACATGGAATTGAAAAAATTCATCTTGCTCACAAATACGTTATAAAACTTTAAGCAGAATTGTTGTACTGGAAAGCATCTCTTAAAAGGTATGTAAGCAATTTCTCTGAGATGCGTATTTAAGAAAGTATAAGAAAGAGTTTGGAATCCGCATTGTTGAAAATTAAGTGTAAAAAATCTGCTACTATAATTAAAAGAATGATTCCCCTTACATTATAATAAGTCAGTTATAAGTTTAAATAATATTTAAAAATAATCCTTACTTTATTCCTTCAGAATATTCAAAGCAAAGAAGTACTATTTAAAGTACACTCCTGTCCATATAGGATAATCGGAGTCACGGGGAAATCGAACTCTAAAATAAAATATCACTGTAAAATCACTACACACTCTTCAAGAATCCTATGAAAAGTTCAGCCGTACCAGATGACACCGATGTACGTCACATGAGAGTAAGAGTGCTATACAAGGAATACAGGCAAAGAAGTGAATTGTTCGCAGGCACTTTAAAGCATTCAGGCAATAACCGATAGTTATGACACAAAGACAAATTGAATGATTTTTTACGTGGTTGAATTATCGGCCGTCTGGACTGTGGGCGTACCAACTGGAAGTATCAGAAGAACTTGGAATGCCCAGAGGTCATCTCCAGGCTTTGGCAACGATCCAGATGATGGTAATGTGAGTAAGACGTTACAGCACAGGTCGCCCCAGAGTTACAACGCCGAATGAGGACCGGTATTTGGGAGTTACTGCCAAAAGAAAGAGGCGGAGCACAGCCTCAGACTTCTCGTCAGCTCTCTTCAGTTACTGGTACGACAATTTCAAGGCAGGCCGTGTACAGACGCTTAGGGCAGATTCGTCTATATGCTCTTAGACCTGTCAGATGCGTTCCAATTACTGCAACTCACTGTCGCCTGCGGTTAGCCTGGAGTAGAGAGCATGCATTGTGGACACCGCAGCAGTGGACTTGTGTGATGTTTTCCGACGAGTCCAGGTTTAGCTTGCAGTCTGATTCTCGCCTGACTTTCATATGGAGAGCTCCAGGTACCCGTTATCACCAAGAAAACATCATTGAACGACACCGTTACGGTGGTGCAGGAGTGCTCGTTTGGGGTGGAATTATTCTGGGTTCCAGAACTGACCTGCATGTTCAAATTGGAACCATGACAAGCCAAATCTATCGGGACGTCATTCTGGAACAACATGTACGTTTGTTTCGGGGCGCCATGGGTGCACAATTTGTATTTATGGATGACAACACCCGTCCTCACTGTGCAAACATCGTAAGCGAATGCCTTCAATCGGAGGATATCACCCATATAGACTGGCCCGCATTCTCACCGGACTTGAATCCAGTAAAGCACGTATGGGGACATGCTTGGCCGACAAATTGCAGCCCGTCAACCTCCTCCTACATGTCTACCGGAACTTCGAGAGCATTGCTTTATGAATGGTGTAATATCCCCCCAAGATCAGATCTATAATTTGATACTCAGCATGCCTAGGCGTTGTACGGACTGTATTGCATCGTCTGGGAGACATACAATGTATTAACAATCATACCAACCATGTTATATTGTTTTTTTTTGTAAACAGGTGTTTTTTGTAATTTGCTCGAGGGAGAAAAAATCGCTAATTTTTTTCATAAACATATAGCATCTTTTTGCTCTTTACCTTTTGTTTAATAAATAAGCTTTACAAATAAGTCAAATTTGTTTTGCTTTTCCTTTGCCTGATTTTGCATTATCTTTAATTTATGAACATGAGTGTATTTCGCTGTTAAATTAAAAGGTGCTCTAATTTGAAATGGACCGACTAGAGCATTAATTATAAACAGATTTATAGTTTTCGATTTAAAAGATGCCTTAGAAGCTAAAAAATCATGTCATTTGAGAAAGTATTTTAGGAAGAAGCTCTATAAATAGAAAAGGAATAATGCATAATTTTAATACAATAAACTAATCTTAATTTTTGTAATCCTTAACCGAATCAAATTGAATTACCTTAATTTTTTTCTAATGTAATTAACGAAAACTTGTGAAAATATTTCAAATTAAACCATTCTGAGCAAACTATTCTGTGAAAAGTATAGCATTTAATTCCGTTCAGAACGAAATGTTTAAAAATGTATTCTTTTCATATACTTAGAACTCTGAAGTATTGTAGAAAAAGAAAATATATACATTTATATGCATAATTACGACATAATTACAATATTTACGTCCGATCGCGTCAAAAACCATTGAACTTAATGGTAAATGACCCAATGTTTTGGTCACCAAAGAAGGGATCGCCAGTGCTTCAAAGCAGGGTATGGGGGAAACCGGTTTAGGACCACTCCATCTAACTTCCTACCTCCATGACTTTCAGCACTTAAGAACAAAGCTTGAGACTTATTACTGGTGCTTAGTCGTCCCGTCAAAAGTTTGTCGTCGCGTCGTATTAAATTCAAATAGATTAATCATGCATACTTAAGTATTGAAGAAGTAAAGCTTATTATATAACTGTTCAAAGTTTGTATTTCTATGTCAATATGTCTGACTACCTATACAATTTTGAAGGGTCTTAATCTGACAAGTTTCATAAATCTGAACAGTTAACTTTAAAAATGTTAATCAGAATTCCCTTTCATTTTCCAATTCCTGCGTTAAAAGATAACAAGTATACCTAGTAAATTTGGTAGCTTACCTATAGATCAGAAGTTTTGGTTCGTTGTATATCTTCGGTATTCTACCTTCTGCTATCACCAAGAAAATGTGCGAAGAAAGCATATCATGGTGGCTCATCAGCATAACCGACTGGGCGTAAGTTGACAGAATGGTTTGAGATGGATTTGAAAATCGGGACTCGACTGGATTCCAGAAATAAATATCCACTGGTTTTTTTTCTTCAAATGACCTCGATCTTAAGTTCAGAACGTCTTCGGTGGCAATAGCTAGTATTGTTTGACCATCCGACTGTATGATTGAGGCCTGCAAATTAAAAAAATTGTAATAACAGAAACGCAACTGAAATATTTTCCGCCAGGTCTTCATCTAATGTTACAAACGATGTAGTTAATTGTTTTACCAGTAGCTAAATTACTTCTCTTTAACTTTTAATGTTTTGTACGCATTATAGCAGGGAAAACAAGTTTCCAAAACTGCTGCACGCGAAGAATGAATTCACATCCAATAGTTAAAGATAAGTTAATGGAATTCTAAGTCTTTGCTAGTCTAACATATTAATGCCCAAATAATATAATTAATTTTTAGCACAGATCATTAGCAGATCCACAGTTTGGCTGAACTACAATGATAGAGAAGAAATCTTGGAAAAATAAATTTGCTAACCACTTCATAATTGTATAAACAAAGCTGAAACTGAGAATGAATTCCACAAATTCAGCGAAATTTGTCCTTGAGCTTCTTTAAAATGAAACTGCAGGTACATTGGGGAATCACTAACCTTTCGTCCACCTTTAGTGTGCAGAATTTCTGTGAAAGCAAATTGTTCGCCATTATGGGAACAATATACTTTTACATCTTGAAACTCCATGTATATAACACATGCCAAACTTCCATCAGTAAATGCCATCATGTTGATTACTGAAGTTAGTTCTATGGTTTGGATTTTTAAGAATGTAGCATTAGTCCATAAATAGATGTCTCCACTTGCATTATCGCTGCCTAGAAAACACGTTAGAAAAGAAAGTAACTGATAATGAATGGTAATTGTATAACATTTCACAATAAATTTTAAGTTTTTTTTTAAAGTGCAGCAAGTTTAGAAGAGAATAAGGTGTTCACAGTACACCAATTAATTTTATTAATACAAAGCATCAATTACTACATACCAGATCCAATAGGGCTTTCGCAAAATTTTGTCGGATTTTGGTTAGCTACGAAAAGGTGGGTTCTTCCATGAATAAGCAGGCTTTTAACAGAGACCGCATATGAAGTTGTGAGCTCCTACGAAGAAATAAAAGTATTTACTAATGATATAGGGATCCATTATATTTCACTCATGTCCTTGGATTGATACGAGAAGACAACTAGCTCAGTGTGAAACTAGTATAATATCCATCTCGTTCATCACTTAATTTCGGCATTTAAAATGCCGAAATTAAAAGTGATGAACGTTTGGATTTTTAAGAATATATATTCTTAAAAATGAAAGATAAAAGAAAGATATTTCAGAAGAAAAAAATATTTCTAAAAGAAAGAAAAATATTTCTAAAAGAAAAATATTTCAGAGAAAAAAAATACTTAAAATAATACTTAAAATAATAAAAGAAAGAAAGATATTTCAGAAGAATGCCTCTTATGCCGATGAAAAAAATAGAGGGGAAATAGCTGGATTTATAAATTGCATATCATGAAATTGAATACGAAGCTTCCTAAAAACAACGTACCTATTAAATTTTGCTGGGTTAAATTATTAAATAGCTTTTGTGAGGGCACAAAGAACTGCTTAACACCGCATTTTTAAGAAATTCCATTTCTGTGAATAAGCTATCCTATATTATGTACCTTTTCTCTGCACGATATGGCTTAAGGACAAGCATTTTGTTTCATTGCCTTAGTAGGATTGCTTCTGTTACTACGCTTCAGCTTAAAATTTTAGTTTACGCTGAATTATTTCAGCAACATCTCATACCCAGTTTGAAGCCTAACCCATATTTCGTATTTAGTAAGAAAAGTTGCATTCTATGAAGAATTTTTTTGAAGTATCATAACTGAAGTACACTTAATCGGCATTTAGTTCAATAAAAAGTGACTATATGAATTTTGCTTATCCTCATAAGTACTCGTATTTACCTACTGATACAGAGCTTAACATTTAAATTTTTATACTGCTAATTCACGTCCGTCTTGATATCAGTTCTAGAATATCTATTATAAAACTTTATATACAGAAGATATTTTAAAAGAGTTTATCTCATATTACTACAGAAAGCTAGTAGCAATAGACGAATGTTTTTATTTCTACTATACTCGACAATAGCATTAATTGTAGAAGCTTTCCTGGAATGCAGACCAACATTTGCTAATAGACTGTATGAGCATTTTTGCCAAATTTCAAAATCATAATACAACGCTTAATTCTGAAGCGTCAAGTTATAAAGTAACGACGTATTTCATTATATTCTTGAGAAGTACAGTAAAATACAACACTCACTTAGCTTCTGACTGTACCCCGCCTCATTTTTCATTCTCTTGTAAAATTGTTTATCCACTTTTGAAACACCCTGTATTTCAAATAAACAAAGCTGTTTTACTTTCTTCCGCTTGAACTGCAGCTTAGTCTTTTTCAAGGGAGAGCAAGCTGCATTTAAAGCTTCCGTTTTAACTGCGTACTGAACTGTTCTGCACTAGTTTATTTCTTGCATTACTTTAGAACTTAGTCATTAAAATTTGTTCCAGTAAAGCCTAATGGCTTCAAAATATAGATGGCAAATTCCCTTAAACTTCATAACAATTAAAATGAAAGATTTTATCTTGGCTTTAAAAAATGAATCATTTCTGAAATATAAAAAGGGCATTTTACCTGTGGGTGAACTATGAACTCGTCTCTAATTTTATCATAGTTAAAGAGTCTTATACTTGAGCAATGCGACATCGAGCTTGAATTATCTGAAAGCAACAGCAGTTCGCCGCAATCCTCTCCAAACACATGCAGCCAACTATAAGCTGTGGGTATATCAAATTCTTGAAACAGTTCGTAGTATTGAAATATTACAGCTTGCTCTGTAATTAAAAAGAGATTCCATTTAGAGAATTGGCATTTACGGAATGATTCAATTATAGCAATCATTAGTAAGATAAATGCAGCTATAATAGGTTAGATTATTTGAATACGGTAAATGCTGTCCAAGAGGAGGGATTTTCTGAGACACATGGAGAACACCAACTATGCAGCCAGCTCTTTTATCTTGCGATCGAACTCTGGTCAAACTCCCAGTGTTCAGCGGTCCTAACCACTCAGTTTTCATAGTAATTTAAAGAATTAGTACAATAAAATTAAAACTGAATATCTAAAAATTGATAAAAAGGAATGATCGGAAAAAAGTCTTCGAGAGTTCTAACTTTCAGAACTTCAGTTGAGAACTATCTCGGAACATGATTTAAAGATCATTACAGTTTTCGCAATCTAAACATGAATACTTACTTGAAAATGCATCTTGCATACCCGTTGTAATTTCTTCAAGCTCTATCAGTTTATTCTGTAATGAAGAAAAATTGAAATCTGCATTCACTTTCCTCTCTAAGGCAGTAACATCTATACCAGCGACTGTTGGGGCCTCAAGGAATGTTACCGTTAGTGGCTTCTTGAAATATTTTAAACCACTGACCGAGTTGTTACGGTTGCGCTGAAGAGTTTTTCTGGATAGATAATCTAAATCGACTCCGTTAATCAGGCCATTGATGTTAAGAGATCCCTTTATTTCAACATTTCCTCGAACGGTCTTCTTTCCAGTTATTACTTGATTACCATATACCATTAAAACTTTGTCTTCAGCTATGCTGATTCCGTTGATGGTTCCATCCACTCTAAATGAATATTTAAAGAGAATGTTACGATTTTCATACAAGACTTTAAAAAAATTTCAACTCTACCAAAAACAAATTTATTTTATTCTTCCCAAAGTTAAGATTAACTTTTACATAAATATTCTCAAGCGTTCAATGAATATAAATTTAAGGATATCTTCCGAATTTAAGTTAGAGGGCAGTATTTACTCAAATAATATGCAAATAAGCATAAAAATGATCATGTACATTAACTACTAAGAAACGTTTCATCGTAATTTCATTAAGCAGACTACAAATAAACAAGCTTCTATAGCTTACCTTGCGTCGGTAATAGAGAGATTATGGAAAGTTTTATAACCGTCGATTATAAATGTTCCTCCATCTTTCAATACAGACTTTTTATGCCACTCTGATATGTCAATCCCTTGAATAAGCTTTCCATCTTCAATCGTGAGATCGCCAAGAACACTGACAGTTTTTTCGAATATTTTTGGGCTTTGTATATAGTTTGTTCGATTGTAAAGCATCAGGTCATCGGGAATTTTTAAACCATTCACTCTTCCTGCTACAAGTACATCATCTAAAAAAGAATGCGCATTTTCATTCTGGAACGACCTCAAGTTTTAAGTTTAAAATCTTAAGCGAAAATAAAACTCATATGCGAAGTACCCTCAGCTTTATTATAAACCAGAATTACAATAATTTTTATGTATTTGAAAACAGAAGGCGGTGGTGCTCCTACTTCACCATTTTACAGTAACAGTAAAATTAAATAGTATAACTTCGTTAAACCAATAAAACATTTACTGCGGTTAACATACGTTATTCCTATCTAGATTCCGATTTAAAATGATTAGGGTAGCAATGCTGCTATGAAAACTTTTTAACACTACAATGCTATAACACGAGCAGTTAAACTAAGGCTTGTGAGAATATTTTAGGTCAAATGGTTCCTTAAGTTAAGGCACGCAAAGGTTACATCTTAAATGGCTTTATAAAATATTATGCGGAGTAAATTAGCTCATATCGCCTTACACGTTGGGGAAGTTTTGAAAGTCTCATGCAGTTAGCCGTTCGTCCGGAACCGAACCCAAGACGAGTTGGTGTACTGCGGTCTTGTACTGTTTGTCATTGGGGGCAGCACAAAGATGGTTTCGCTGAAGTTGGGGAATAATGAAATCAAGTTTTTTTTGGCCACTTCTGAGCAAGTTCAACCATTTTCACATTGATACTGCAAACAGTAGCAGAATAATAGTCTGGAAAATTCATACTATCTCTTTCTTACAAAGAAATTAACAAAAATTTTGAAGTCTTATAGGAAAGTTGTTCCATGCTGTTTTATTCCTAAATGGTATCGTGCATAATTATTTGTTGAACTTTATTTTACAGATAACATTACAACTAAGATACAGCATCTTTCCGAAAATCTACGTACGAAACTATGTGAATAGCTCTTCCTTTCACTGGGTATATTTATCACGCAAGAAGTGCTTTTATTTAAGCCAAACTTGAGGCAATGTCATAATGTGTAACGCTGAAAATTATGTTCACAATTGGATGAGTTTAAGGAGAACAAGCTTATATGAAAAGAAAAATTATAGAAAGAATTTGGGCGTTTTTAAAAGTTACTGGACAAAAATGTAACGCGTCTCATGTAAGGATCGAATCTGAAACTGCACTTCGAACACCACTTGCTTGCCAAAGGATTAGAAAAGAACCCAAATAAGTAAGCCAGTGCGTTATCCATTAAGTCGAAAAATTTCATAATTAAACTATATATTTTAAAGTGAGCTTTAGAACTAATTTTCGTGCAAAACAGTCATGTCTAAAACAAAGCTACTTTGCAAATGGCAGCGAATGGAAAAGGCTACTTAACTGATTACGGCAAAGCACGCGAGAGCCCTGCTTCAGAAAGAATATCTTTCGCAGGAACTTTTTAAAGGAACTTGCCAATGTTTACGTTACGCAGGAGGAAAGTTACAAAACTATTATACTATGAGAACGCTTTGAGCACTAATTTCATTGATTATTAAATTTCATATGCACTGCGAAAATTTTACACTATCCAATAAAAATGTATCAAATTAGCTTAGAAACAGACTTAACTAAAGTAGCTTAATATTTAAGCGGCAAAATTTGAGCGGACAAAAGTTAGAGACAAAATAGACAAGGAAGACTAGTGAACTTACTGTCGAAAATTATTTCATCAAAATGGTAAGTGGTATTCACTATTTGAGTTCCATTTTTCATCAGCAGCCTTTCGCTCATCTGCTTAATATCGATGTCATTAACTTTATTGGTACGAGTATTGAAGTTTTTTGCAGTTAATTTGCCTGTAAAAAACATTAGAAGTTATTAAAAGCAATTTCGATCTGACTAAAGAAGAATCTTAAAAAACATACCTTCCACCACTAATTCTTCAAATTCCACTTGCCCAGAAATTTCTTGATCGCGAGTAAGACTCATGTATGTTTGATTTAATAATTGCAAGTCTATTCCTCCGAATTTTCCTTTAATTTCAACAATCTGGAAATAAGATTAAATGGAAAAAATCTACAGTATATTAGCAGTCTATAGTATATAGGACATTTTGGGAGTTCTCGTTTTTTATATGGCAGGTCTTAAACAGGAAAAATGCATTATGTATCGCGCAGTAAGCTCGAACAGTATACTTTAAACATACTTTTCAAAATAGTACAAAATGTAGTTGATAATTACAGTTTTCCAAACATTACAGACCTAATCTAAACAAACAGGGCTAAGCTAAGGAAAATTATTATTGCAGCGTTAGTTAGGAAAGTTAATTCCCAACATCTCATTAACTTAATTGTACCACAGAAATATTAATTTTCAAAATTCAAAGTACATTCGCAGTTTTCAAGTGAACGTTGATTATAATGAACCTGGGCGATTAACATATGATATGCCGCAATTTCTGATTCTATTTTTGATAAGAAAATATTAAGGATGGAGCTAAAGCGTAAAATTATTCGCTTATTCCCCAATTTAGCCGAAAGTGTGAATCAGCCATTTCAGGATAAAGGCAATCATTTTGGTAAAAAATACCTGCAATTATTATTGATATCGTCTTTAAATGAAAAATAGATGGAAGATACTATGGACCAGCGGGTGTTCCATTTTAACCACTTGCGCTAAAAAGACGCGCCACGCACGTCGAGGCGCTTTTGTCTCAAACCGCGAGCGACGTGTAAGCCACGTCGATAGGCATTTGCCGCAAAAATGAAAATAACGTGGTGCACACGTCGCCTAACGAGATTGTTTATGTTTAGGAACGTGCGCGAACTCCGTTAACACACAATTTAATAATGCAGATTTTTTGTGCCATTATAATGTAGATTTTTATGGCAAGTTATGTTTTTTATACATTGCTTTGAGCTTGATAACTCACGGAATGTTATTTTTGTAATGTTTAGAATGCTAAATAAATAAGTTCGTTGTTAATTAAAAAGGTTTTCTCTGCGAAATATATTACCATTCGTTCGAAGTTATTAAATAAGTCAAGAATTGATTAATTTCAAATAGTTTATTTCTTGAGTTACAGCTCTGGATTGCACTCGCAGACGCGGAACGGCTAAATGAGACCCTTTACCGCTTGTTATATTGTAGCGCACGGTACCGCAACCGTGAAGTTTAATCGTAGCGCAAGGGGTTAAGAAACCTCGCAACAACAAGATCAACAGTAAGCATTAGCAAATGTTAACTACACATTTGTTAGATTAGTTTGATGTGAAATGATGCAATTTACGTATTGAGTTAAAATGTAGAAGTATTTTAAAAACTTACACCATCTATCGTAAGGTCCTGGAATGTCTTCCTTCCTGTGATGTTTATTCCAGAATCTCCAGTAATGACAATGTCCTGGAGTTTCGCTAAGTTCACACCTGCTAGATTCCCGTCAATAGTTCCACCTCCAAGAAGCGTAACTTCTCCTTTAATAGTTAAATGTGTTATATTCTGCTCTTTGCTTAGAAGCAAAGTCTTCTCGCAGATATCAGAAATAGAGATTCCGTCAACTAAACCATCAACAGTGACGTCTCCTTCAATCACCAGGTCATTCAAGAAGGTCTTCTCTCCTGCTATTAATAAATTTCCCGACTTCAGTATGGCTTCCTCGGACAGGTCATAACCTTGTACCTTTCCTGACAAAGTTATGGCCTCGTTTGAAATCAAAGTGCCTTCAAATATTACAGGGCCTTCTATAACGGCGGGTTCATTAGTTTTCACTATTGTATTATTCAAATGCGTCACATTTATGTTATTCAAGAGGCCGGTAACTTCCAGATTCTGCACCGAGAGGCCGTTAACAAAAGTTGCATTACCCTCAATAACTTGAGCAACATTTTTCAACATCCATTTATGTTTCATATCCCATTCAGTAACACCATCGATAGTCGATTTGAAAATTAAGCTGCCAAAAATGACATTATTGGCGAATGTCTTAATCCCCGATATAGTTTCAGGAGTATCCAACCATACAGCATCGTTCCATAATTCACTAAAATCAACTCCATTCACATAACGGCTTTTCAAGTCATGGCCGTCAGGAACATGAATAGTACCTTTCACACTCTTCTTCCCTTTAATTTCCTGGTATCCTGAAAATAAAACCAGTTAAACTAAATTTAAATATTTTAAGTATTCTTCAATTCAGCATGTTAATACTTTTTTGAAAAGCAATATCAATCTTATGTTTAAAAAGATTACCTGAACAAAGGAAAACAATAAATAAAATGTACAGAAATACCTTCGTAAGTCAGGGTATCTTCCATCATTTCATCCAAGTTGATACTATTAACATTTCCGTATATTTCAATGTTTTTAGCTTCGATTTCATTGAAAGTGACATTAGACAACATCCTAGCGTTAGAAATGATCTGGGGTCCAGTGAGTGTAACAAAGTCATCAACAGGAACACCATTAATAGAACCGAAGACTGTTAGGTTCTTCACTTTTACGTCGCCTGTGAAAGTCTTGGACCGCAGGGCTTGATTTCCAATTTTAAGAAAAGTATCAGTTAGGAAGCTTATGTTTAAGTTGTTTATTAAACCTAAAACTACGCTATTTTCTTCCAAGATGATGGTCTCAAATACTTTCTTTCCAGACACGTTTTGAGGCTCATTTATCAATACCAAATCCTCTTTCACGTTGATACCATTGATATCCTGACATTCGAGCTCTTCAATCTGAAAGAAATTGCGAACTTTATATATACGTTTTAAAATAGGTTTAAAATAAGTGTACAACAAGAAATGCTTTTAAAAAGATAAGTTTTCGAATTCGATTATTTGATCATGGCAAAGCCTACTAGTGCTATTTGAACAAGGAAAGGATTGCTTTCGTGTAGAACTCGAGGGGATATTACTACTGTTTACGGACGAAATAGGCTGAAAATTCAAATATTAGCTCCTTTACTTTAAAAAAATACAGACACGACAGAACTGCATCAGGATACAGAAGAGGAGGTAAATTGGTTACGAATGTCAAAGATTTGAATCATTTCAGCATTTCCTTAAGCATGCGCAAGAATGAGTTATTCAACCAATATGCACTAAGGTACTGGATGGCAATAACGGAAAATTAATGCTTAATTCAGGACAGCAAGAAAATAATTTGGTTAAAGTTAAGAATGCAATTTATTGCGGCAAAGAGTTGATATCATCTGTAGGGATACAGGATTCAGAATTTTAATGTAAATTCCTCTGCATTATTTAAGGAAGAAAATGCGCGAAGAGACTTATCTAGATATATTCGATTAAGGTAAGGGATACTATAGTCAACTGTTCAAGGGAAGAGCTGTCTTATTCAAGAAAACAAACTTCCTTAATATATTATACACAAAAAATAAGCCTACGCACAACAGCTAGTTTGCTGGGATAAGAAGCGAGGTCAAACTACCAATGTTAGCTAGTTTCATCCACACAGCTGCTGATGGGCACGAACAGCCAGATAAATTGGCTCCAAAAAGTGTTCGGATACTTACGAATCTGCTCTAAAAATAGTATACACTGATTATCAGTATCTAATTTATTCTCTACAGAATTATACGAAATTTATCCAAACAGTTTAGCAATTTTCAAAATAAAAATTAGTTGAAAACTGCATAAAATTTTTGGAAACCCTATTTTTGCAGCTAACTTGAGATTTACGAAAGTTCTTAATAACTATGGTAGCAGGTTAAATAATCAGAATTTCTTTGAAAATTTATTATGCAAATAAACTAAATTTAATGAGGTCTGCGAGGTTAGTGCACTGTATCGAACGTAAAATGAGATCAGGAAACAATTTTTGCATCCTAGTGTGATACCCCAGTCCATACTAGACAAAAGACTCAAAATTTGAATTTACAGAGTTCTGTTGCTTTCAGTATTTTAAGGAAATAAAAAAGAAAAGAGCAGAAGCAGTCATCCATCGAAACTTACTATGCGAGACTTTTTTCTTGGAAAATTTTAATAAATCCAAGCGTAAATTCTGTAAAACCTTCTGCAATTTTAAAAGTGATGCATCAGTTTCTGTTGAAGGAGATACCATGATCATTCAGCAAGAAAACGCTTTTCGTAAAGAAAATACTCTGGTTTTTATTTGAAAACCCATAATAAATTTTAATCGCATTGGACTCGGGCTCTCCTTGTGAATGAGGGTTAAGTTTAATACTTTTTCATATGGTTGCAGTATTTAACAGAAAAATTATTCCGAAGAATTTGCTACCTGAAAGAAGGGTCATGACTGTGTCCTAATATAGAACAGCATGTTTGCAACAGGACTATTAATTTTTATCGATACTGTGAATGGATCATACTTGAATAGTTTAAAAGGGAAATTGATAAAAGATCAGCATAAACTGGGCGCGGCAAATAATTTTACATTGAATTAAGAACGATTTTAAAAATGCTTTTTTTTTTCAAATAATCGCTTTAAATGGATGTTCAGTTATACAGTTTGATTTAAATCCATTTAAGCATATTTATAAAGCAATTTAATTATGATAAAGAGCTTTATGTCTATTTGTCTAAAGTGAGAGATGACTGCGAGGAAGGTTTTCTAAGGAAAATTAGCTAGCATCTACATTAAAATGTGAAAAATAACGAAAATCCCCTGCAGCCCAGTCTGTTGAATTAAACATTTTATCAAAAGCTGACTTCAGAGTGACGAAATAGAATAGTATTGTAGAAGACACGAAAAATTCATCCCAATTCTAAAAACGTTTATAGTGGTTAATAAAAGCAAAAGGATAAGCCCATCGAAAACTAGATCTTCAGGCAGTTAAATATCAGGTTGAACAGATTTTTTGCATCCCAAGATCCCTGCATCTTTTGCATTAATTTTTTAAATAGTTTATTCTTTGGATACATATCATGCCTAACTTTTAAGGATAAAGATTTTACTTTAAAATAAAATGATTTAATTTAATCAGTAGAAGCGTCAAACTTTTATGGTAAAATTCAGGGTATTTTATCACTTTTGAAGCTGTTGTTGTCAACTTCGTTCCTGATCAAACACAATCAATGTGAAATGACAAGTATTTAAGATTTTTTTTTCGCTTGGATTTCAAGCGGATCTTTCTGTAGGAACTTAGCAGTTAAGGAAACTATACTCGTTCGTATCTATAGATTGTATTACATGAATTATGGTAAAGTAAGCGAAGGCTATCCGGATGAAGAGAGGAAGTTTTTGTGAAAACCATTAAAGAAAAACTGTCATTTTTCACATTACATGTGGGAAAAGCTCGAATACTCCCACGGAGCCAGCTCGTCCTTTGACATTTGAAGCTCACTTGAACTGCAAGTGTTCAGCTGTCTCAACGCTCGGCCGTTTATGGGCCATTTCGAATCTTTTGCTTTGAGAGCTATATCATCATTTTAGAAAAAACTTAAAATATCGGATCTGGTAATATGTGGTTTTAAAATAGTGAAATTACGTCAAGATTTAGACATTAATTTACATCTACAGACGAGAAGTTTCAATCAAGAAAGGAAAAAAAACTGAACTCTCGAAACACAATTCTTAAAAATATAGGATGTCCTTTAATTTTGGTGTCATCAGGATTGATAATTTTGCATTTCTATTAAAAAGCATTGAACAGGCATCAGCTATAAATTTCACTTGCGTTCAGAGGAATTCTAATGGAGCGGAGGTATATTTATTTGCGTATGCAAAGTAAATTTTTTGCGATGTTTCAGATTTAAAAATGGCACCAAATTTAAAGTACACCTTGCAATATTCTCTAGCTCTATGAATGGATAAACATAAGTGAACTTACGTATACAGTATCGTTGAATATTACTTGCGATGCATCAGATTCGTGAAGTTTGAGTGCTCTTTCATAGACGTCATTTATGTCAATATCGGCTATTTTACCATGCACTGTAAGTGGGCCTTTAATGACTAAATTTTTAAAAGTCCAAGTACCTATGAAAAATAGAGAATGAAGTTTTAAGAGTTTGATTTTAATTTCAAAAAATCTTATAAGGATAGTTAATCCTTAAGTGTTACATTCTACCTTGAGTTATATTAACCCTATAAATATCCCAAAAGATTGGAGAAAATACATGTTTCGCCTGATACTTAGTTTTCCAAATATTTGTTTTCCCTTTACCTTCAAAGAAAACACTCAATTAAATTTACCAGTAACTGATCATATAACTTTCTCAAAAGATAGTTATGTTTATAGTACTTAGTATTTGATCCTACGCACAGATGTTTCCATGTCAGTGAAATGCTAAATTATTATAAAGAGCTCTTAGAGAAATACTATCAAAGCATAAGCGAAAATATCCCAGCAAAATCTCGAACAGAGGCTGTTGTAGCCAATAGAAATCATGTAGTCAAAGCCAAAAGGCAGTGTCAAAATCATCAGATCTTCACACGGAATGAAGAATTTCTCGCCAACCGCACACTAAATTTTTAGCTAAAAATACATTGTGTAAATGTTTCTAATACACAACCAGAAAATATATATAAAAGCATGAAATCTTGTTTTGTTGCAATACTTAAACTGCTTCAAATTAATTTTTCAGGTTAGTATTGCTTATCATAAAGCATAGCCTTATACATAAAGGATATCTTAAAAGTAGATGTATTACTCAAGTTCAAAAAATTTATTTTGGAACTCTTAATAGATGTTAATGTGTACGATGAACAATGCTATAAATTTTCTCTTCTTCAAACCGTTTTCGCGTTAGATATTTGAATACGGTTTGCAGCTTTTATTACATAATATGAGGTTAAAAAATGCAATCTAAACTGATTGTCTCTCCTGCAACCTAACGCGTTGCATTTCGGGAAAGGGAAAAAACAGCCATGTACCCAACCCTATCCACTACTTGCTATCAAGCTTGAGAAGAATCTAGTATTATTTTGCAGTTTAAAATATCACGGAATTGCTCGGTTTTTGACATTCGTGTGGAACAATAATTAAAAGGAAAGATTGGATTGAGATTACGACAAAGCATGCGAGGTTGCCTCCTAATGGAAAGCTTTTATGGTAAGGTAGCCTTTTCATGGAGGACATTTCAAGGGAAATCGATTCGTAATCAGGTTACACATGTGGAAAATCACGAAAATTCCTACACAGCTAGCCCATTCACCAGTATTTGATTTCGGGCGGAACTATCAAACGTTTAGCGTTTCAACCGCTCGGTTGCTGGTAGGCTTGGTGAAAGGGTTAGTTTGTAGAAAAAAGAATATGCAGAAGAACAAACTGAAATAAAATAGTCATCTTGAAACGTAACTCAGTAGAAGGGAAAATATTTAACATGGTTGAGAGAATGCTCCAAAATCAGTGTAAAGAATATTTTAGCAGAATACCTAAAATTTCGAAATACACCATACGTATTGTTTGAAAAGATTTTACATAAATCTTGCATAAGCATCGTACGTAAAAATTTATTTTCGCAATGTAGCAACATAATGGCCCAGTAACAGTTTATGATTAAGAAAGCTTCTTACATGGACGCGAGTTTAGCGTAAATGTTAATATATTTTCGGTCCTCAAAATCTGAAGATAAAACACGAGATTACTTTCACGGAGGTACATGCCGCCATCCGAGAGCTCTGAACTCGAAGAACAATTTTCCCCTTCATAAAAAAATGCAAGCACATAGAAAAGTGATAACTTTTCGTTGGTCAGTAGTCCAAGACATTCGTAATCGTCAAGTGCCTGGAAGGTGTGCGTGTATGAGGGGGAAGTTTCAATACCCTAACAGCCCACAAAGCTCCGTATGCCATTTTATATGCTTATTCCCTTCTTATCTCCTACACAAATCTCCAGTTTTGATTCTCATATGGAACATGACAAGAGCTGGAAATTAGATTGTAAAAACATGCAAGCGCAATTTAAAGGATCTGTTAAAAAAGATATAAGCCAAGCTTCTGCTAAGAAAAACTTATCAAAAATCAGAGTTTATCAATTAAAAGTATAACCCTATGAAATGTCAAGGCTTCAAAAATTTCCTGTATCGTATTACGAAGAATTAAACACCCATTTATTACTTCAGTTTAATATACATTTTCTTGTGAATGTACACTAATGGCAAAATTGTGAAAACTTTTTGGAAAATGCGGATTTTTGATGTTTAATTGCTTTCAGCACTAATACTTTAGAATTTTACAAATATTTATGCATCACTACAATGGCCATTTAACTTAATATGATGCATTTTATAGAATAAACATCTTAATAAAACTTATGCGTATTGAAGAGTAAATTTCTCAGTTCCTTACAGTTTCCATCAGCGCTTTGCTGAGAAGCCCTTCAATGCAGTTACAACCTCCGAGCGACATCGCATGGAATGAACCGATGATTTAAGTTCGGCAAGCGTTTCAATATAATACCACTGTAATACAACAGTTTAATCAAGTTTTATGCTACGTTTGCTCCCGACACTTAAGTTTTAATACTGTATGGACTTTCTAACAACGCAATCCTTTTTTGAATGCGTTCGCACATTTTATATTGAACAGAAACATGACAAGACAATTTTGCCGAGATTTTGAATTTACATTAGCTCAGAAAATATCATGAGCTGATTATACTGACCAATATGGCATCTATTTTTTGCTGTTTAAAACTTAAGTTTATATTACGATTTTGGTTGTGTTTTTAATGGGTTTTCAAATAGCAAATTTTCCTCAGTTCTTCGGACACATTTCATTCCATCCCTATCAAATATGAGTGTTCTTTTTCTTTCCAGACGACACTATTGCATTGCTCTAGCCGATAACAAACTTAGCAAGCTTGTGACAATTTTCTTTGAAAAAAATCTTGAAGTCTTCATAGAATAGCCCTGGTGTTTTACACAGCTTTTACGAAAATACTCGTCTTGGATCATTTTCTTCCATCATTAATACAATGCTTTTAATTCTATCAGTTATAATCCTGTGGAGCTTTCTTACTTTTACTAATTTGATTTTCAATCAGTAAGTCTTGATACCTATTCCACAATTGATAAAATAATTTTAAAACTTACTGAAACATTTCGAGAATGTGTTGAACGCCAAAAGTAAGAAAATGTAACACCAATATTTCTGTTTACTTTGATTTCATATCTTCCATCCAGTATTTTATAAGTAACATTCAGGATAATCAAAATTTGGTTGTTTAATCGAGTAAGTTCCGCGATTAATTCAATCGGTTATGACAAAGTATGAAGTTCTGTTATTAGGGAGGGATCTTTCATGGTGAATTTAAGGAAATTTTACAGTCTTATCCACTCTACTTTTGGCAAAATGTTAGCTTAATTAGAGTAAGCAAATGCCTAACGCAAGTTCAAAGGGTTGTGATTTTAATAAGACTTCAATCCCTTTACGATGCGAACGAGAAACTTCAGTTCTTTAATACAGTCGAAGTTTGACTTCGAAATTTCCACCTGGGGTTCCTTCAGAAACTTGTTAATTTGTATATACATTATAGAGAAATGCAAATTCAGCTTTTCTATATATAATGTAAGAATTACTTTCTATGTAATAAACAAATTGTATATTAACAAATCCTTCCGAGTTTAACAGTAAAATCACGTTAAAAGCTATGAACCTATTAAACTGTCCAGAAAATAAAATTAATGACTTTAAAGGAAGAAAAATTTGAATTTTATGGTACATTTTGCTCCAATTCGAATCAAACTAATACGTTTTCTTACAAATATTCTCCTCTGAAAAAATATATTAACATATACCTTGTCCGCGAAAGTTCTTAACCAGCATTTCGAAACCGTCGGTCGTAGGACACATACTTCCAGTTATAGAAGTGTTTTAAATATCACACGTATTTTGGCATTTTTAAATTTAGAGAAAACAAATTTGTAAAAATTAAATGTCAGCTGTTATGTTCCTCCTGTCTACATTTAGGAAAAATATTATAAAAATGTGCAATACCCGAACAACAAAAATTGCCAGAGATATTTAGTTTTAAAATTGGATATCATATTCAGTACTGTACATGTTTTGGAAAGAAGCGTTTACATTTGTACTTAACTACACTCTTGTCCATAAATTAAGGATAATTCGGAGTCACGCGGAAATCGAACTCTAAAATAAATATATCAATTGTAAAATCACTACACACATCTTCAAAAATCATATGCAAATTTCAGGAAGTAACCAGATGACACCGATGGTACGTCACAATGACGATAGTGTAAGACAGTGATATATAAGGAATACAGGCAAAGAAGTAAAATTGTTCGCAGGCGCTTTCTAAGCATTTCAGTGCAATAACCGAATAGTTATGACACAAAGGACGCATTTGGATGATTTTTTACGTGGTAGAATTATCGGCCGTCTGGAAAGGTGGGCGTACCCAACTGGAAGTATCAGACGAACTTGGAATTGCCCAGAGTGTCATCTCCAGGCTTTGACAACGATTCCAAGATGACGGTAATGTGAGTAGACGTTACAGCACATGTCGCCCCAGAGTTACAACGCCGAATGTGTATTTAATTATGCCAAAGCACACTAGGGCTATCTGCCTAAGAGGAGGGATGCCTTCGTGGAGGACTTTCTAAGGGAAACTGGCTCGTATACACGTTACACATGGGGAAAACCACGAAAACGCCCATGCAGCCAGCCCGTTCGCGGGATTCGAACCTCGGACCGAACTACCAGTGTTCAGCGACTTTACCGCTCGGCCGCTGGTGGGCCTACAACGCCGAATGAGGACCGGTATTTGGGAGTTACTGCCAAAAAGAAAGAGGCGGAGCACAGCCTGAGACTTGTCTCGTCAGCTCTCTTGGGTACTGGTGCGACAATTTCAAGGCGGACAATGTACAGACGCCTAGGTCAGATCGGTCTATATGCTCGTAGACCTGTCAGATGCGTTCCACTTACAACTCACTGTCGCCTGCGGTTTGCCTGGAGTAGAGAGCATGCATTGTGGACACCGCAACAGTGGGCTTGTGTGATGTTTTCCGACGAGTCCAGGTTTAGCTTGCAGTCTGATTCTCGCCGGACTTTCATATGGAGAGCTCCAGGTGCCCGTTACCACCAAGAAAACATCATTGAACGACACCGTTACGGTGGTGCAGGGGTGCTCGTTTGGGGTGGAATTATTCTGTGTTCCAGAACTGACCTGCATGTTCAAATTGGAACCATGACAAGCCAAGGTTTGGTTTATTAGATTACGGCAAAGCACTTGAGGGCTACCTGCCTTAAGGGAGGGATGCCTTCGTGGAGGACTTTTAAGGGAAACTGGCTCGTATGCACGTTACACATGGGGAAAACCACGAAAACCTCATGCAGCCATCCCGTTCGCGGGATTCGAACCTCGGACCGAACTACCAGTGTTCAGCGACGTTACCGGTCGCTGGTGGGCCCCATGACAAGCCAAATCTATCGGGACGTCATTCTGGAACAACATGTACGTTTGTTTCGGGGCGTCATGGGCGCACAATTTGTGTTTATGGATGACAACGCCCGTCCTCACCGTGCAAACATCGAAAGCGAATGCCTTCAATCGGAGGATATCAACCGTATGGACTGGCCAGCATTCTCACCGGACTTGAATCCAGCAGAGCACGTGTAGGACACGCTTGGCCGATGAGTTGCAGCCCGTCAACCTCCTCCTACATGTCTACTAGAACTTAGGAGAGCATTGCTTTTTGAGTGGTGTAATATCCCCCAAAATCAGATCGATAATTTGATACTCAGCATTCCTAGGCGTTGTACGGACTGTATTGCATCGTCTGGGAGACATACAATGTATTATCATACCAACCATGTAATATTGATTTTTTGTAAATAGTTTTTTTGTAATTTGCTCCAGGGAGAAAAAATCACTATTTTTTTAATATCAAACATATATCATCTTTTTTTTTGCTCTTTACCTTTTGTTTAATAAATAAGCTTTACAAATAATTTTTGCTTCTAACTCTTCCCTTGCCTGATTTTGCATTATCCTTAATTTATGGACATGAGTGTAAAAGTATCAGTTTAGGAAAAGACTGCTGATGGTAACTGATTAAATGAGAGCCTTTCCATGCGTATTACCGTAATTAAGGTATATTAAGGTACTCCCCTCCCCAAATGGCGGGATTTAGCCGTTTAAAGGTGCTAGCTACTGCCAGGACCGAAGCGGTGGTCTATTATGGATTGGATTATTCAATTACAGAAAAGCACACGAGGACTATCTGCCTAAAGGGAGGGATAGCCTTTGTAGGGGACTTTCTAAGGGAAACTGGCTCGTTTACACATGGGGAAAACCACGAAAACGCCCATGCAGCCAGCCCGTTCGCGGGATTCGAACCTCGGACCGAACTACCAGTGTTCAGCATCTTTACCGCTCGGCCGCTGGTGGGCAGTCTATTATAGAAGCACCTTACAGGTGGCCACTGTTGCCTGCTATGAAGGGACGGATAATTGACATCCATGCCTTCCCCGGGATTCGAACACGGGGACTTTTGTACAACAGTCAAGGTCACTAACCACTTTCCTGTCCAGGCCACACGTAGTGCCGGGTTTTAATGTATAAGCATAATTTGAGTCAGAATCGAAATGTGAAAAAATTGGTATGTTATTTCAGAAAAAGTCTGATTTTGTGTCAAAATACCTATATTAAAACAATGCTATAGATAAATCTAATACATATCCTAAGTCGCGCTTTTGAGACATGAAAAACGCAATTTGAATTTGGTCAATCGGCCCAGTAGAACAGGAGATATAGAACTGTCAGTTTTTTTGCGCAGTGTACTTAGAAAAGCCACAAATGTTTCACGTAACATGTTTCACGTAACTCTGGAAATGCTTCATATTTTTATTTCATTCATATGCAGCACCCAAGTATCTGGCATTGAGTTATTTTCATTGTGAAGCAGAACTTCTTTTGAATATGCCACTGCAATTTACAAGTTCGTACGACATTATATACGCGTTTTAAAATTCTTGCCGCTTCTAACAAAAAGTACACAAATTAGTTATTCCATGGAGTTTCATTCAAATTATGATGCCAGTATCTCAGCTTTTTTTGAAAAAATAAGTTTATTAAACCGAGACTGAAGACTGTGCTCATAAGGATTTATAACGACAGCAAAAAAACAGTGAAAAAATTTGGTACGAAATCAGTCAGGTCTGATGAAGAAATTGATTGCATAATCGAAATCAGTCTTAAAATAAACGAAAAATCATAATTGGGAACAAAACAAATCCCAATCATTATAAAGAGATTTAGATGTTTAAACCTAAAACATGAAAATTTAAACTATCAAAATCAACACAAAAAGGGAAACGTTACTTACGATTCGAAACAATGGAGGCATCTCGTCGTAGTGAAGTTTCCTTCAGCTCTGATAAATCTACGCCATCCACTTTTCCATCCACGAGACTGTTGCCATCCAAGTGAACAGTATGGAAAGTTTTCCTACCTAGAGAAAAGATGAAAATTTTACTGCATTATATAAATGAAACCTTGCATACAGCTCAACAAACTCAAATTTACCTGTAATCATCTGGTCACCACTCCTCAACATTATATCCAGCTGACGAGCTTCACCTATAAAAAAAACAAAATTTTAATTTATGCAAACATAGTTCAGAAAAATCATTCCATTCATTTAATCATTACCTGGCTGATCGACGAAACCAATGCCATTTATGGAACGCAATACTTCAAGCCTGTTGATACTCGTAGAAGTCAGGAAATTATGGGTTGCAGTGACATTTGCTGGCGATTTGATGTCAACTACTCTGGGTCCAGGAATGAGAATCCCATTGATTCCAGCAGGAGCATACAAGTCCTTGTTTAGAGTCACCGTGGAGAACTGCATTGGTGCTATAATACACAATATTTTTAGATGAAGATTTACAGCCATGAAAAAGCGTAAACGAGTTTTAAAGACTTATGAATTTTTGTTTACCTGTTATTTCCTGATAGCCATCTTTCCATAAAGTGTGAGCCCATAAATCAACAAAATCCACGCCATTGATTGTAGAGCCAGGGGTCAGTTTTAAGTCGTTAACAACGATATCGTTAAATATTTTTTCGCCTGTAACTGTATAATGTTTGTCCGAAAGTATTAGATCATCTAAGAAATGAGACAAGCTTCTGCCGTTAACTGCACCAGGTATTTCTAACCAAGAGGTGTCAATATCATGGAATATTAAGTTGCCCGTTATATTCTGGAGACCAGTGGTTAACAGCACATTAGAGGGCGATATCTTTACACCGTCTACTAAGCCATTAACTTCGACATCCTTGGCTTTCAGAAGAGTCGTAAAATCTTTCTGCGCCGTTATTTCATGACTTCCAGATTTAGTTACCAAATGTTGGGGATCCATTCCGTCTACGAAACCATGTACCGTGATATCAGTTGCTCTTATTTCTTTGGCGTATATAGTACCTGTAATAGGCTTCTCGCCATTGAGAAAAACTAGCTGATTTTCCCAATCAGCCACATCCTCTCCATTAAGAATCATAGTAGTAATATTATTAAAATTACAACTTTGTCTTTGGCATTCAAACACAGCATCCTGGAATTCCAAGTGTCCTAAAAAAAGATGAGTATTAAAAATTCCTTCCAAACTTAGAGTTTTCAAGAGAATTCTAAATTTCAAATAACAATAAATTAGGAAAAATGTATAGACTTGTTTTTCAAATGATGCTATAGTAGTGCCGCGCATGACGAACGTAATCCGTTCCACAATGGCGTCCATTGTGTGGAACGCTGTTTTCTCGATACCTTAAAGAGGGAGTAACTGATCTATTCCCAGATTGGTCCAAAATCAAAAAATTTGCTAATTTATTAGTTAAAAAATTTTATATATTTTATTTTTTGGATAGTCGAATTTTTCTCGAAAGCATTCCTTAGAATATATCGAAGTTATTATTTTAACTGCATGATCGTCCAGAATGTCTTACACCCCACGTGGGTAGAAGAAAAAGCTGAAAAGGGGGCAGACACACAGGTCAGCCTTTCACTGGATTAGAAAACGCATCCTGGACTCCGGATTAACATTTAGCTTCCGTTAGCCAGTACACCGCCCAGAGCTTATTTACACATTTTTCGTGTATATGCTTTTTCGCCTAAATAACGTTTCGTCCAAAAATACCTTCTTTTGATGACTCTTTCCCCTCTAATACTCTTTCACCCAAACTACTTCGACCCCTTCCCTTCTGTGGAGAGGTTAACCTTCCCTCCCCCGTTCGCCTAAAACCAAGTTTGTTCTGCACATTTCTGCTCTATAACATGCCTGGGCTTAAATTTTTTCCTGCAACTTATATGCATAGAATATTCTGCGTAAAAATGCAACACAAACAATATTTTACATTGTATTATGTATTTATATAATTACTAGAACATGTACAATATTCTAAAATTTTAATTTATTTGATAATTACCCACATATTTAAACCATTTTAACGACTTCACGATATAATTTGGACTTGTACGATGCTTAATTCACTCATTTGTTAAAATTCAAATAAACATTCTCTTATAACTAACAATGCTTTGAAAAAGTCAAAGAGGTAACTTTCTATTGACGCAAAAATTAAAATTTCTGCTGTTTAAGCAGCATACTTAGAGACAAGCCACTTCTGATCCTAATGAATCTCCATGATACAGCTAAATGAATTTGTTCAGTTTTGGATAATTCCGAATGCAACTGAATAGTGTCAGTTTTAAGACAATTTATTGCTACAGCTTCATGAGACTCGTGAATTTTAATTTATTTTGTAAATATGTATTTATATTGGTTTTTAGTATTAGTTTAAAAAGGAAAACATTTTCACGTGAGCTATCAAAAACACTTCAGTGACCTGATAGTTCACCGAAATTTTGCAGACCCTTGTTCTAGATTATTACAAACAGTCTGAGCCGACAAAGTTTCATATTTCATGTTATTACGGTTATTTAACTATAATCACAAAGAATTAACCAACCTTTTAATTGTTTGTGATCTGAAACTGCTATATTAATATCTAAATTAAGAATGAAATTGTTATGTTCAATGTATTAAAATATTGATATGCTAAAATAGCAATATTCAGTTATAATAACGTTGCATAAAACCAAATCAAGTTTGAAAATGTATATGCAGAGGTAGGACATTAAAATAAAATTAGCTTTAACATTTTTAACACCTAGGTTTCCAAATGAACCTGTGCTCAAAACAGATAATTTTCTAATAAAATTTCGTTGCTTAATATTTTCTTGAAATTTTTAATTCTCTGCATTTCGATGGGATCACCGGTTTATCGCCGCTGCGTAATATCAGGATGACCGATTCATTTTCTGCTTGGTCTTGCTTTAGAAGCTGAATTAATGAATATGCGTTTAAATGGGAACCGGCAGCTTTATTAATTTGGAATGCCACCATCAATGTAATTAGTTCAGGCTATCATTTGAGAAGTGATTCCAGATATTTTTTGCAAAGGAAAGTATTAAACTTAGAAAAAACATGCTTTTTGCATTTTCCATCAAAATACTCGTCCATTTTTCAGTTAGTCTAAATATTAATAAAGGGTGTCTGTAACCCCATATATTATGTACCATGGTACAGAATAATCGTTTGCGCGTTACTTAACTGTAAATTCTTAATAGCGTAATCTTTCTAAAACATACTGGACACAAAAAATAAAGAATTTTCTTAAGTTCACTTATTTTTTAATAACTGAATGAAAATTAGGCGACATGTGTATTCCCCTCCCCCCCCCCATCTGGAACGTAGTACTGGAAATAGGACGACAGTGAAGAAACACTCCACAGATAAGGGGCAAAAATTAGATGAAACGTCATTTCGGCGAAAAATTCTTTTGGGCTCAATTTAGTCTTTCTTTGGAGGTGTGAAACTCAGTTGTTTGACCTTTTATATCTTTTGGGGGTGTGCAGATTTGAAAAACCTCTCTAAATTGGTCTAGTTGCCATTTGAAGCTCTCCCCTTTTCCTCGGGATACCCTGGTTTGATGGTACTGTTACGAAACTGATCAGCTATTCTATTTATGGCAGCTAACTGGAATAGCATGCTTGGTTATGTTCTGAACCAATTCCTTTTCTTATTTAAATAAATTTCCGCTTTAAGAAATATGAAATTAGTTTAATTTCCTTATATTTAAATCCTTCCTTGATAGATGCAGTAGGCATGAATTTTTACTAAGAAAGAAACTTGCTAGGCTCCCGGTTTTGGGTCAAGGAAATTCTGCAGTGCAATTCTTCAGTGCTTATTTAACATCTAGAAAAATGTTTATCTGTCCACTTCCCGCCTCCTACATTTTATCAGATTATTTTTGATATTTACGTGAAAAGCATAATTCTAATTAGGAAACAAATGAAACAAAAATTAATATCCGCGTTTGATGTATAATGAAATCAGCGTACCGTCCGTATTGCAGGACAGAATTCACCACGTAGGGCATTTTTCGGTTCGAGCGCTCATTCGCTATGTGGAACGTTTGTTATGCGAGGCAGAACTTTTAAAGTGTTAAAAATTCTTATTTTAAACAACTGTTTCATTAACATACTTGATATAGTTTGGTTTCCTTCAATCAACAGAGCTTTTTCCAAGATATTAGCGTATTCCAGCATTTTTAACTTAATTTCGTGAAGTCTTTTCTGAAGGTCTTCCAACTTCGTCAGAAAACTGTTGTCGAAAACTTCTTGAGAGTTTGTTACTTTAATCTATATTCATAAATAAAAACTTCCAACGTTAAGAGTTTTGCTATGTTTAAAAGATGATTAACAGCAACTATTTAATATAGAGTAACAATTCTAGAAAGAACGATATTTTAAGTGCCAGTCAAAAGACAATGAGGAATTTACGAGGCTTGCCCCGCTAAGTTAATGAGAATGGAATTTTACCACTTACGCTGGGAACGCGGTATTCACTGCACATTAGAATGACGTTGCAAGAAGTTGCTTACTTAACCAGAAAGTATTTGCTTAGTGTAGTATGAATCAAATTACCTACCAGTTATAGAAATTTTATTCAAATACTGAATTCATGTCATCAAAATATTGAATGTAAGGTAATCATTTTGTCTTAATGAAACAGAAGAAATTAATTTTAAGAGCATATGTACATGGCGTTTTGCTTTAAAAAGTTTTCTGACTTTATAAATTTTTCACAAAGACCAAAGAAATAGCTTCAAATGAGAGACTTTACTATATTATTATGACCGAATTAAAAGCGAATAACAAATGAGCTGAGGATTTCTAAGGACCAGCCTCATAAACAGGGGAATCTTAATCTGTTTGAAATCGAATGTCACTTTATATCCGTTTTTATTTCATTTAAGATTTTGGATTAAAACCAATTGAAGGATCACTAGTACAGGCACGGAATAAACAAACGGCTATGACAAATTCTAACGTAATAACACTTCTGTATATATTACTACGGATACCAAAACGCTGAAAATTAAGCCTGAATTTTGAAGGAGTACATTTCTGAAGATTACAAACTAAATTTCAAAATTCCCTACATCATTACTTTTGAGGCAAGCCTCGTATATCTATTTGGATAATCCTTTCACACATTTCATTAGCGAATTTTATGAAGGTATTTTTCAAGAAAGATAAATAACTAACCTGCGATGTTTTTAGAGTTCTAGCTCCAAGGCCGTTTTTAAAATTAAGATTTCCATTTACAACAATAGGTGAAGTCTGATCAACAAGAACAATACCATTTAGTAGATCTGCTACAGTGTCTGTACTGGAGGCTTCTAAATGTTCTAGAGTTCTTAAACACCATTCGGTGCTTTTATTGTGCCATGCTTGCAGTTTGTTTTCATACTTAAAGAGTATTTTGTACACTGAATACCCTCGGAAGTAGTGGGGATTACTTACACCTGTAGGAAATTTTAAAAAGTTAAGTAAAAGCAAGTAGTAGTTACATTATGAAAAGAAAAAAAAGATCTTCACACAAGATCAAAAATGCATTGCCTCAAAATGTCATTGTGAAGCCACAACTTAATGCGTTTATATTAAAACTTTAGAAATCGAGGTCAAGAAAAGTCAAGATCGAAAATCCTCTTAAAGCTGTTCACAAGAAAGAATTGTTAAAATGCTGCATTTCTGACCTTTATTGTTTAACAATATTTAAACAATGTTCAAAGCTTGTGTTCAAGATTAAAGATGAAAAGCTTTTGATAATATCAAAAATGCAATCTTACGTTAACGAGATGTTTTTCCTTCAAGGTGTCAGTTTTTGCTAATTTTCATCACAAAAACTTGCAAGATATTTAAATTTTCCAACTGTGCTCAGAATTAAAATTAGCCTTAATTTCGAAACTCATTTATAGCAAAATAAATAAACGCAAGCGGAGAAATAATTAGGTGTTGTATCAAGTAAGGCAAAGTTCACGAGTATCTGGAAGGGGGTTAAGGTGGAATGCTTCCATAGAGAATTCAAAGAAAACTCATTCATTCTTCTCTTATGTAACGAGAACGTAGTAAAAGTTCCACTCAAGCCAGCGCATTCGTCAGCATCTGAACGCGGATCTGACTACCTACGGCCGTGGTTCGACACGAAACCGAATTCGTATGAAATTTTGTAGTTCCCCTACCCTCTATTTGTAATGCGAAGATAAGACAGTTTCCTTTAAAGTTCTCCACGAAGACTTGGTTAAGCTTATTTGATTATGGCAATGCATGCGGCAAAGCATATTATCTGGGAAGAGATGTCTTCGTGTAGGACGTTCTAAAGGGAACTGTCTCGTATATACGTTACACATGCGAAAATCAAGAAAACGCTAATGCAGCCAGCCCCCTTTCGCCTGGAATCGAACCCAAGTTGAGCTACCATTGTTCAGTTACATCACCGTTCGGGGGCTCTACGAAGGTATTCCTTCCCTAATACAAATAGTCCTCGTGTGCTTTGTCGTATTCAAAATAGCCTACTAATTACCAGTATTCAGAAATATCTGAAATAACGTAAAGTTGATTCAGGTCTCGTACACTAAATAAACAGTGTATTTTAAAACTAAAAGCTATCATTAATCAATCTGAAATCTCAAAATTCACGGCTTTAAATGATTAAACATGCCACGGATACAAGATTCAGAAAACAGGGATGAAACATGAATAATTTTTAGGAAGTTTCTTACCAAGAACTGGCACTTCGGCACCATTTTGCTTCACTGTATGAAAAGTCAGATGCTTCACACCATTAGACATCGTTCCATGAGAATACTGCATACTTTTTACAAATTGCCAACCATCGTACTGATACAAATGGACGAAGTCATTGAAGTTGGCAACTGCCAACAAAAAGGTTGAATCAATCGTCAAAGCAGCGACAGATGTTGCACCATAAGTAGGCAAGCATTGAAAAGGCACAAATTTGTCATTCACAAATTTATAGATTACTGATTTTGCTTCCGAGATATCTGTAAAAATAAAGCTAATTTAATATAGTGAATTGCGTCCGAGCGCTGGAACTTTTTGATACAAGATTCTGCAGTCTAAATAACCGTTTCCTTGAAAAACAAAGCAAATGCTTTAAAATATTTGCAATTATTCAAAATAAGTTATAATAGACAGTAACATTGTAAGCAGGATTATGGAAATTTCAGCCAACACTAAAAGAAACTTAGAACATGCACGAAAATTAAATACGCCTTAAAATAATTAGAAGTGTATTTACCAGGATATTTATTGGCAACTACAAGGAAGAATTCTTGACCCAAGCCGGGTCCTAAAGAAAAAAATTCCCAGTCAGAGGCACCGTACGTCCGGATTTTCTGATGAGAGAGCCAAACATTTCGATCCAAATCGTACTTCAGGATCTCTGAATCCACTTGAAAGTTGTCCTTCCCTCTCCTATAATTAGCGACTGCTAAATATGCGTCTCCATGTATGTGGAAAGGTTCAATATCTGCTACATCATATGCTTGAAAAGTTGCATATCTATCGAAGTAGGTATCTGTTAAAAAGATGATTTAAAGGAAACAATCAATACCGAAGGGATAGCACTTTTTAAACTAACTAATGTCCATTCAGAAACCATTTAAAGTACATAAAAGCTCCATTCAATAGCTAAATAATGTAACTGCTCGTTCAGATTTTTGAGAGATTCTGCATTAAACCCTATAGCGTTATAGCTTTCTTTATATTGCAAAATAAAACTAGCTCTTGAGTTAAATGGAGACTGAAAATACTAACCCTTCCATACGTAAACGTAAACTTCAGAACTCAGGTCAGCTGCATCTTTGCGTCCAAAGGAGTTTGCCAGTGCCATGTGAAGTTTCCCATCGACTTTCCTGTAAGAATTATTCTGCATGAAAAATAAAATTATATGAATTTAAACTAGATTATATGAATTTAAACTTACATTCTCCAAACAGAAATGCTTGTAACGTATTTGCTATTAACTTCGTATTCTTTAGTCTTAACTCCATTTGCGAGATTTATTTTTATGAGATCCGTCCCTTTAGCTGCAAAAAAAATTAGTAAACCGCAGGTTAATTGATCTTTATTATTACATTAAATTAACCAGTTAATTTTAATTCAATCAAATTTTCAGTTTAATTTTTTAATTAATAAGCAAAAACCTGCATTTATAGGATCTCTTGACGACAGATAGTGTCTTACCATTATCAGTGTCAGCGACCAGGACATAAAGATGCTCATTGAAGTAAAATGCTGATAAACTAGTTGGACTGCCCACCTCCCACCGATAAAGTGGTTTCCATATTCGCTCCTAAAAATGATTCTACGTTAGAAACACTTTTATATTTTGGAGTTCATATTACAGCATTTAAATGCTCGTTGAAGGAAATTTAAACGTTAAATATGAAGAACATTAAACCGTGTAACGTTGCGCTTGAACGTGGCACGTGCCTTTTCTCGGCACATGGGATGATTTTCGGTGGCACTGAGTGAACCGAAGTAGAGATTATAACCTCAAAAATTGGTGAAGAATTGAATTTTTGGATAAAAGCATACAATTCCCGTTTTTACATGCCTTCAAAATGAAAGTTTAGAGTGGAAGGCAGGAGGAATGAGAGTCGAAGTCGGTAAAATTCGCAAATTTATAAAAGATTTATTTACATCAACAGATAATTTAGGTGTTTGAAGTTGCATTTATTGTCGGTTTTAGGGTCAACCTGTAAACAAATTCTGTTACGAAAACTGCTTCGAGTCCACTAGGAAGCTGCTTCACAGTTATGAATTCAACATTCTGTATGAAACGTAAAATAACCAAATGCACGCTTGATATTGAAAAATTAACCGAGGAAACCAAAATGGAGTGCATGATTAGTTTTTTTTTACTCAAATGAATGACATGACTAATCGCATTAAAATTTTAATAGCATTCTACATTTAATTTATCAGTTACTTTGTTCTTGAAACTAGTGGATTTAATATCGGGCTTTAATAGTTTCTAAACAATGAATTCAGGATTTAAATTCTGAAATATAGTTTTTGCTTATTTATTACATATTGGTTTGGTTTATCTGAATATTGAAAAGTATACCAGGGCTGTTTGCCTAGGGGAAGGAATAATCTTCGTGTTTAAAATAAGAGGAAACTCGCTTGTATCCCCGTTTCAAAGCAAACAAAATACAGGAAACAAAAACGTTCCTGCAGCTAGCCCGTTCACCTGGAATGGAACACAGGTCGAATTACCAGGGTTCAGCGGCTTTACCACTCCTCCGCTGAGGAAATAAATATCGAAGTTAAAATATTGAATTATGAATAACTTGTAATAGTTAATGATTGGATACGGGTTGAAGCAAGATAAGGATTAGTGTTTTAATAGTTACTGAATACGAGAATAACGTGGGATTACACCGGTATACTGAGCGACTTTGCGACATTACTTCGGCACAATACTAATAAGTTATCGATTCCTATATATTGAGTTGCTTGTCAAATCATCTGCTCGTTTAAAATAGTCATTATGAAAGTTACTTCTTTCTCAAATTGTTTAAAGTACTGCTACGAACCCAGCGGCATCTTAACCATTCTAGTCGTAAGCATCGCGTCACGCTGTTTAAATTTCTCTGCGACATCAAGTTGATGGCATGTTTATGATGGCATGTTTAGATGGCATGTTTAAATGGCATGTTTAAAAATGGCGTGGCATTTCTCGATATTAATAAGCCTAGTGCTACAGCGCCAGTTGAAGTTTTTCGAAAGAACCTGAAATAAGCTATATCGCACTACTTGACCCTTTCCGACAAGATACTCCGAATTCAATGCGCTTAATTTCAATAACGCTTAGTTGTAGCAGTTACTCTTTCGTGTAAAAGTAATAAGTTTGCATATAGTTGCCTATCGATTGTTTTAGCTCTATAAATTAATATTTAGTACTTCAGTATGGCAGAGACTCGCGTTTGCATGCAATTTGAAAATATTAATAATAAATGTTTAATTTATAAACTGACACTGAACTAATTACTCGTATATAATACCAAGGAAAAAAATGGCTTGGCATTTCTCGATATTAATAAGCCTAGTGCTACAGCGCCAGTTGAAGTTTTTCGAAAGAACCTGAAATAAGCTATATCGATCGCACTACTTGACCCTTTCCGACAAGATTTCTTTATTAGAATTCATAATTTTAACATTTAATGAAGTCTTGCCTAATAAATTTAATTTTTGAATTGTAACCTTTACTTGAAGTAAGTGTTGAAATCAAAATAAACATTGAATAGTGTCAGTAATACTGAAGTGGCATTCTGTTAAAACATTACAGATTTTCCCTTCTCAGGGGTTTGATTTAGTTTTTTTTTTTATTCCGGCAAAGCTCGCGAGGGCTATCTGCCTAAAGGAAGGGTTACCTTCATGGAGAACTTTCTAACTGAAACTAGCTCGTATCTGCGTTAAGCATGAAGAAGGAAAACGCTCAAGTGACCAGCCAGTTTGCCTGGTTTTAAGTCCAGGCCAAACTAACAGGGATCATAAACTTATAAAAAAAACGAAAGATTTAACTAAATTTTGTTGGCCGTCCTATTTAACTTTTTGCTGAATTCATTTTTTGCACATCCACGAAGAGAAAAATTCAAACTTATGGAAATAGAAAACTGAATGCTTAAAATGGAATAGTTTAACAGTTACCTCGTATAATCCTACAGCAACTTCCGCTGAACTTTGTCTTGTCGATGCAGTTATGCAAATCGCATACGTTGAATTTCCTATGTCCAGAAATCGGATATAAAGTGGCATGTAACAAAGCTCCGAAACAGGAGTAACACTATAAAGGCGATAAACACCTAAAAGGAAATTAAACAAAATTAAGTGGCAAGCATTGAAATAAAGAATATGTAACGGATATTTAAAATCATTACCTATGTCATCAACAAGTGATATACTAGTTTCTTCTGCAATTTCTCTTTTCATTCGCGTTGTACGCTGAGAATGAGCAACTTTTAGAGATGAAAGCAACTCCGCGGCTATCCTGTCATATTCAGCTTCTGTTTGGTAAAAAATTCGATTAAGCAATCACAAAACTAGTATCTGAATAAAAAATGGGCATCGACAAAAAATTGTAATTAAGAATAACTAAGACTAATGCATAATTCCAGCTAATTTCTGAAAAACTTAAATATTGAATTACGGCAAGCTTATGAGATTTTCATTGAACTTAAATAAGTTTCCACATGTATATTTTCATACAGAACTATATTTCACTGCAATTTTTTCCTCGTCATTTGAAGGAATTAAAAAATAGCGATTTTTTAATCTGGAAGCACAAACACAGAAAAGAACTACAAAATTGCACTGCTTCTGAAACTTAATGTACCAGTGGCCGAGTAGATAAAAACACTTAATACTGGTAGTTCGAATCACGCCAAACAAGCTTGTTTCATAGGCATTTTGCAGTTTTCCTCCCATGTGTATGGTTTATATATATGCACACACACTAGTCCGGTTTGTGTTAGAAAATCTTTCACAAATGTATTCTTTTTCTGAAGCACAAGCCGTAGTGAGTTTTACCATAATAAAATTTTCCAATCCAAATCTTTTTAATTATTGATTCAATCGCATCAGGAGCGCTATGGGCACTTAGTACGACAATATAAATACTTGGCTGAACATGTTTAAACTATCCCAAGCATTATTCCAAGCATTGATTTTGACTGAAGCCATTTAAAAATTAAACCGTGAATATTTTGATATTGAGCGAAAACATTAAAGATGAATGAATGAATGAAATGAATTTTTACTTAGGTATTAAACTGTAGTGTCAGTAGCAAAGAATTCAAGTCCAAAAATAAGTACATACAATGATAATCTTAAAATCTATTAAAGTTGCAACTAAATTTGTTGATAGGTTTAGTTTACTTGATAACGGTAAAGCATTAAAGGGCTATTTGCCTAAGAAGAGGCTTTTGTGAAACACTTTCTAAGGGCAACTGGTGTGTACCCACGTTACACAAGGGATAAATCTCTAAAACATCCATCTTGCCATCTCGTTCGCCTGGAACAAAGCCCGGTCAAACTACCAGTGTTCAGCGACTTTAGTTATTTCGCTGATCGGCCAAAACATTTAAATTTGCAATGAAAGCAAATACAAATTTATATTCGAAAGAAGATCAGTTCTAATAGAACATCTCCTAAATTCACAGGAAACACTTTTCTTACTGATCATCTAAAATATGCTTGTCATGCTTAAGAAGTCTATCCTTAGGCATGACAGCATAGTTTAGTACTAAATGCATTCGAGTTCACAGGGTAAACCGAATGGGTGAATACACACAGATTAAAGAGGACAGAATTTTTCGGAACCTATGTATATATATTTGGATAGTTTTTATCTGCTTAACTCCATCCAAATTTGACACAGAACCTCGGCGAAAGGGTTGGGGGAACCGATATTCTTGCACAATATTGCCAAACTTTACCGTCAAAAGGTTAATATCCATAAATCAAAAACTAAAGCCCTAGTACATTAACTCAGAGAACCATTAACAGCATAATAACGCTTTTCCTTTTACATACGTGCTAAAGGTATCTTGAAGAAAAGTTAAATATTTTGATCCAGATAAATTTTTAATTTGTTCACTTTCCACAGTTACATATTCATTTTCCGAACTATGAACTCCATTGAAATTGCACTTGAGACTGATGAAAACTCTGCTAAAGTATTTCTAGAATATGTACTCGTGCTGAAGCAAAATTTGTGACGCATTACAAGCATTTATAATAAAAGTAAAGCTCCGAAACACTCATTATCGTATTAAAACAAGCATTTGCTAGTATAAGCGAAATAAAAAATCCCAGAATTTTAAAATAAAAAATGGCGTAACTTTGAAGTTGAACTCAAAGGCAGACTTACCCACTTTTTTTTTTTACATAAATGAGAAAGCTATCTGCTCTCGTGAATTTCGAAAACATGTCTGAATGCTTTCAAGCAGAACGCACTGCATATCTTCCTTCATTCTTGATAAATTACCGTAATTAATCCTAGCCTGCTTATTTAATTCATTTTAACCAATTCATCCAGTATTTGTTGGGGAAAATGAATGCTTGACGTACGATACCTAAAAGATTTAAGAGAGCATTTCCCTATTCTAGGATATCATGAGGCAAGGTGCATTTGAAGGTTCATTAAACAGAGTAACATAATGCGAAATTCAATAAATTTAAATTTTATTGAACCTAACACATTCAAACCCTGGATGCAAGACAGCCAGTATCATTCACGGAAACTCACAAATACGTACAGAAATTTTGATTTCCTTCCCCAAATTCTAACCACACTTTCAAAACTCTTGTTCAATATTTCGTCGCTAAGCTGTCAAATTACTTTTTATATTAGTATTGAAAATTCTCTAAAGATTTATATGAAAGTGAGATCTTTAATATATATCTGAACATACGATAGCTATGACAACTTTGAAAAAGTTTTCATGGTGGAAATAAATGAATTTTTATTCAGATGTTAAAAGGCAGAACATCTGAATAAGAATGCCTTTGCGAATAAGAGTGCGAAAAATGGGTCCTTTGTAAGATTTGGAACAGTTTGCACCTGATAAATTTTAGCAACCAAATTAACTGTTTATGCTGAACAAAAAAAAAAAAAAAAAAAAAAAGATTTCGGATACAATGTGGAATCTCCCAAACAAAGAAATGAGTTTTTTTTTTTTTTTTTTTTTTTTTTTTTTCAGATTCTCATGCTTTGGAAATAATGCAGGCATATTTTAAATGCTTAAAAGATTGAACGAAAAGTGCTGTCTGAAGAGGTTACGAGTAGCAAAAAAAGTTAAATATTTCTAAACATTATTTCATTACGCATACTTGCGTGGAAGGCTTTCGAAAGCAAAATCACAAAAGTTTATTCATCCAGTAGCAGACAAGAAAGGTAAATGTTTCACATCAAATACACAGAAGATTTAAAACAACAACGTTCCGCTATTTTAAGACATTAAGAGGCACTCAACAGCTAACACGTTCAACTTTGAAAAATCAAACCAAAGAACTGAAAACCACCATTTTGCAATTTAGCTTTACAAAAGTTTTAAGCTATTAATATTATACAATTGTACGTATTTCAAGCATCTACATGCACTTTTAATTTGACAAATTAAAAACCTCTGGTAATATAAAAAAGGCTCTCTGCGTAACATAGACTGTGTATTCTTAAACACTAAAGACATGTACAGAAATCTAACCACATGTATTTTGATAATAAAAAGACCGCCATGTATTTGCGGAAAAAAAAATCATTACTCTACCAATAAAGCATGAAAGCATAGAATCATTCACTTCATTCCCTTAAGAATAATACCATGTATGTTAACTGATTATTTTCAAACAAATAAATATGTACTGTCAGAAAGTATCGAATGCAAATGCGAAAACTTTAATCAAATATGACGGCAAAAGGAAATGCATTGCTGGAAAACCGGTGTTCAGACAAATATTTTTTTTTTTTTTTTTTTTTTTTCTTTGGAAGGTTCAGGCTTTACAGTTTAAAACCTTTTCCGCCAAGGTAAGGTAAGGAATGCTTTGTGTATAGTAATGTAAAATTTCTTTAAAGGGAAGGAGGACTTGCAGATCGATTATTATGGTAGAACATCTGAAAGGCTTTTTACCTAGGAAGAAAACCCTTCGTACAAGACATCGAACTATTCTGCCAGTATTTGAATTTCATTAGAGATTACACAATCGGTTTTTCCTCCCCCCCCCCACACACACAAGTGGGAGCTGTAAACTGAATAAAACTATGGTATTCTATGGTTACTGGCAAATTCTGAGCCTAGGAACAAACTTCTACCTAGCAACTGTATGAAAATACCAATCAGAAAATGGAAATAAATCTCCTGGAAAATAAGTTACATACCCTTATTCTCCCCCTTTCGCAAATACGCATAAAAAAGAAAAACTTCGTTATTTAATATTCAGATGTCTCATTCATTTAATTAAAGAATGAATTAACGAAATAAAGCTATTAGCCACGTACATTTGTGTATTAATCAATAATCGTAAAAAACAACCTTTTATTTAGCGTAAGTATATTGAAACACTCAAGTGTATTTAGCGTAAGTGAACAACTTACGCTAAATACAAGGTTGTTTTTTACGATTTTGATTGTCACATTAGCGTGTTTCTCTTCTAGTCTAATTTGTGTATTAATTTCAGGATGAGAAACATCTCTTACTTTATGAAGTTTTTCTGCTTACAGGCTTTTAAAATAATAAAGATTTTAAGAAAGCAGGATAGAAGATTACTATCAACATATATTCTACCTGATACTTTTTCATGATTTAAAGTAATTGGTTAATCTTTGAATTATGGTAACTTGGCGATTTTATGGCGACCAACACCGCTACAGCAACCTGCTAGCTTTTGTTTGGACTCCATTTTGTTTTCACGAAGTAAAGGCATTTTTTTTTCCAACAATCTGCTAGCCGAATTACGCTTATGCTAGAACTTTTATGGAACAAAAGTGCTTAATCATGACGAAGATTAGAGGCGAAATCGGGAGCAAGTGCAGAATCGCAAACTGCTTGCCGCGTTTTTTAAGAATTGCACATACACGGTAACCATGTACACATCGACCTATTTTCACTTAAAAAAAATCCCAGAATTGCACAAAAATGGCATTGCGCACGCTCTTGACTTTATCCATGTACACTGCTAAAAGTCCTAGCTAGTAACCTTTATCGCCTTACCAAAATGTCGCCAAACTACCTGTTACCATATTCCAAAGATTAGCCAAGTAAGGTTAATGCAAACAAGTACACATATCGCACAATTTTTTATAAAAAATGGAATGTTTTCTTAGAAAACAAGACTTTATAAATCGGTAAAACGGAAGGCATGAGAAGTTATCGGATGGAGCGAAAAATAAATTACTGAAATTCAGTTTTCCTTGTAGCTATATAGTGGAAATACAACTAAAAGATTTCGTGGCGCCATCAAAAAGTAGCCACCTTAGGGGATTTAATTACATTCGGTTCTATATGAAACAAAACATCTTGCCTATATTTATAGCAAATACTACCTCGTATCTAAAAGGTAAATAGATTAGCTTACCTGTCGTTAGCCGTGAACTGAATAATCTTTCACCGTGGATGAAAACTGGGATCTGGACCAGCCAAGCAACTGCGAGAAAACATAATCGCAACATGGTAACTGGAAAAAAAAAAAGTGCGGGCATAAATTTTAGCTGAATCAGTTATCAAATCTCAAAAAGTTTTATTATCACTCCTTTCTATGAGCCAACTTTATAAGTAAGGCATTTAGTCTGACTTTAGAAAGAAAATAAAGATTCTATACTTATGAATAGCTTTAAGCATGGAACTTTCTGATTTACTTTGTTTTCAATAAGTAACTAAAAAAGATACTCAACAAAGAAGTAAAAAAGTGATCAACGCAAAACTTACCAAAAGTATGCAAGGGCGCGCCATTTTGAAGTTTTGATATTTATACTATCTAAAGTACAGGAATAAATCTTCTCAGATATCTCAACCGTACAAAATTCATAACCCTGTACGGCACTAAAAGTGCTTACTTGACCTTCTCGCTGCATAAAACTCTTTAGTGACTGAAAGGATATCCCTCAATACTGGCAATTCGTACAGTCTCATATCCCAGCAAATGGGCTGGCTGCAACGAATTTTCATAGTTTTCTTATGCGCAAGGTGTACACGAACAATTACCAATCAGAAAGGGCTCCACGAAATTGTATTTTCTTTAGACAGGTAGTCTGTATGCGCTTTCAATTTCCGCAGTAATCCAGTCTTTGCGTGAAGAGAATAAAAATGCTGAACATTCAGGCTGAACTGACATTAAATACCAAGCTACAGTATTAAAAAGTTTATAAGTGCACACGGAAGATTCGACCAAAAATTTTAAAAGTCACTCCCTTACCGGTGGATACAGAATGAAATGCACTAATTTTTTGTTAATTAAGAAACAATCAGGAATTTCTCAATAACTGACCTAAAAGTAGTACAAGTTCATGAAATTTTACCTTTCATTCAGTAAAAGAATGTCGTATGCGTGCATTATGTGGAACTTAGTCTAGCTAGTATAATCCGATAGGTAGCATAAAAACAGGTACTTGAAAGGTTGGTTTTCTTTTATTAGTGTTAAAAATCTCGAAGTAACCGTTTTCTAAAAATGCCCATGATAGTACATCAAGAGCTAATGACTAATGATTAACATACCAGTACAAGGACTAATGATCAGAACATACTAATACAATAACTAATGACTAAATGCCAAAGAATGAGAATGAATATAAATGAATGAGAATATTAAATGAATGGAGATAGAATGCCAATGATCGGCTGAGTCACTCAGATATAGTACGATGACTGAGTTTTTTTCTGCTATTCACTTAGATTGTCATATCAGTTTCTTAGCATGGACACTTATTCCAATTGCTAAGGCTAGACTTTAAACTCCTGAACAAGATCCACAGAAGGGGGTTTCTAATTTTAGAGAGGTAACTTCATGTGCTGGCAGAGTCCGCTGAAGCTGACATTTTATATAATGAAGAATGTCTTATAAAAAGGGGGGAGAACAAATTTCGAGTTGTGAACTGGTAACGCAGTGAGGTAGGTGACATTGCACACTATACGTTATTGAGAAAAAGACATTGTGTCTTTTCATTATTCTGATACAGTTTCACTAATAAACCGAGCAAAATCCGCGTCAGTTATATGAGCCTCCTCCACACACGAAGAAAAGTAATTATAGATGCGATTATTATCATATGCCCTTATTCATTTAGTTAAAAAAAGTTTTGTTAAGCTCGTAGTGCCTGTAACGGCTGATTACTTTGTTGCTATGCTGGACACATTTATTACTTTGAGAGCTGAATCGCTGTCCCTCCCCCCTCATCAAAACAATGCGTAGATTCAACAAAGATAGAACAACATGCCTACATGTAATGCTATGGAAGCTTTCTTCTTCTTCTTCGTCACCCCCCTAAATCTGTGTAAACATGGGATTCTATGCAAGCACAGAATATTAGCTATCTGCCTTTATATATTACGACTTTTCTGGAAGCTGAGTAGGTTAAGAGCTTGGATTGAGCTGTTCCTTGGCCAAGCGGGCGTCCTGCATGCAGTCCTAAGTAACCAATGAAATCTCTTGTCAATCTTTCGATTGAGATTTGTACTCTAAGAGTAAGCTTAAATAAGCAGCTAGCTTAAATTATCGGCGGCTGTTTTTAGCGCAATTATCTATAAGTATTTAAATATATAACAGAGGGAGGTAAAGAATAATTCTGTCCTTCTTATTGGCGAATTTTTCATGTAGAGAAAGAGTTGAAATCTCTGTTATCTATTTGAATACAAATGACAATCCAAAACACTAAAATCAAATTAATATGATAAAGTCCCTTCTGTCTCTCTCTAATGAAAGAGTTCCTCACGCAACGTGGCATAAATTCAGCTAGATGTTGAACCATATCTCTTGATATTTGGTACAATGTTGCAATAAAAATCCCTCAGTAGCAGAAAATTGTGGACTAGGAGGGGGGTCGTGTTGCCTTCGAAACCATTTTGTCTACTGAAGCCATAAATACTCAGTCGGAATCATATTCAGCAACGTTGGGCACTCAAGGCAATAGAGTTAATTCCTCATCGTGATTCCGGAATTATTTCTTAACTTTTTGGGCAGACTGATATCGATCATTCCGACGTTGAAAGGAGCCAGCTCCGATAGAAAATAAAATCTCCATAAAAGCGTGCAGTTCTTCTTTTATGATATGTAGGTAGTCATACATTAGCACTTGTTCTATAGGCCTAAAGGTTCCAAGTGTTTTCCAAGAAAATATTTCTCATATTTTCACACCCTGTACACCCATCTGGGAACTATGTTGTGGAACGATTTCTGACATTAGTGAAGAGTGGGCGGCCTTGCGTTGTTGAAAGATCGATGAGTTACCATGTTTCAGAGCATCTTTGATAGACTATTTTCTCCGAACTATTTTACCCCAGCTCTTATGGGATTATCACATCTAACGACGCGTGATGATAGAAAAAACTTTTCTTAGAAACGAACTTCTCCTCCTACCATTGGAGGGTTTTTAGCCGAAGCATGTTTCGTTGGAGCCTACGTCTCTCGGCTGACTTTTGAAACTGAAATGAAAATGTATTGCTTGAAGTTTTGTCCCTCGTATAATTTCTCTAAAAAACTGATCTTCGCAAAAGTTAACCAATCCGAAAACAAAAATTCTGGGAAATGTTTCTTTTGACGCTTGTAGGTGTGATATTGATTAGACTTACCTGAATGAGCCTTTGCTAGCCGTTTTGCTCTCCTGTTTTGAGGTTCCTGATACAAAACTTATGTTAGGGCCTTCCTCTGTCAGTTGCATACTTAAGTTACTTCAGTTTTATTTTGAGTTTTATAAGTTAATGGTTAAGTGGAAATACTTTAAAAAAAATATACTTATTTTTATACTAAAAAGAAGCTGCGTTTTTTATTTACATGGAGCTAGAATGTAACTGTAAAATAGTTAGGTTTACCTTACCAAAGAGCCCTGTTTTTGTTTAAATCAGATTACAATCTGCTGTTTAAATCCCCTGCTGATGTCTAAATCTGATGTAACCTGTAATCATTCTTCATTATTGTAGCATCAGCCGGGTTGGCTCTAAATACCTCTTCACGCTTCTCAAATTGGCGCTTCAGAAAAGCTTTGATGTAAAATGATGGGCGCAAGGCACTGTTCAACGAGGGAAAGTCCCCAAACAGTCTGGTGGGTTAGAACTTGAGCTTTTTGTGGCAGGATATCAAATGGACTGTCATCCACGTTGATTATGTTATTTCCTCTGTAAATCATCATTTGGGAGACGGGAAAGAACTTCATTCTTTTTCACTGCCTTTAAAAGCTCCACGGCTTTCAATCCTATCTTAATCTTTTCCTGAGGATACTTTACTGTCTTTACTTCAGCACCTAAGTCAATTTTTTCTAAGATACTTTTAATACTGGAGCTTAGAATGGTAAATGAATTTTTTTTCTTTCTCCTTTTTCCTTCCTATAACGGCGTCGCTGCAAGTTTTACTTTCCCCCTCTCTATTTTTGAGGATGAAACTTCCAGATTATTTGGTTTTGAAAAATCTTCTTTCCGTAACCCATATCCAGGTTTTTGAAGAAAATTCTTCGGTTAGTTATAATATCTTTTGAAAGAAGTAGTAGCATGCTGACCTCTTTGTCATTAATACAGCAGTCCGGTTCGGCTTTTATCACATCACACTAGTACGACAGATGGCCTTTCGAACATTTAACACACCTTGGTTAAAGTTAAATGTAAGCTAAAATAACATGCCGCATAATGATTATTGGAGATGTTAAGGCAACAAGAATCAGCATAATATTCGTAAATATGCACGACTAGTTTCGAAAGTTTAAGCATAGAACTTTCTTCTTCAGCTGCAGAAGAGTAAATGATGAAAGACAAGCCTGTGCTCAGGCGATAACAGTAACAAGAAGGAAGTCAAGCTGCTGATGCCATCTATAAATAAAAAATGAAAACAACTACCAAATAATTTCCTTAAAAAGCTGAGGGTAAAGGCAGACTGGGATTGGAATCGTTAATTAGAAATAAAAGATTTTTATTGATGTGAAACGACTGTAGAGAGTCTAATTCACTAACGGAAGATGTTTTTGAATAATTTGAATCACTTTTTTGGTAATAATAATTAAAGTCTCCAGCTCGGCGAAAAGGCTGACGTTACTCATACTTCCTAAAGCTTGGTACTCTTTTTTACCTTATGCTACTTACAGGAATGATTTATTACTCAAGTTTCCTACTAATGCATTACAAGATTTTACATTTCATCAAAAATAGGCAAAGTTTTACTATTCCTAATGAGTGTTTATTAAATATTTTATTACATTTTCCCACGAATAACGCTGGCGACTAATCCAATAATATGTAACATAAATATCCTTATCTTTTAAAAATCCTAATTGAAAGTTAATTAAAGTCAATTGAATCAGTAGTAAATGTATCTAAACTGCTGATCGTAAAGCAAAATGATTTTGAGTTTTGTGAGTATACTGATAAGGCTAGATAAAATGAAATTCAGGTTTTCCCACTCGTAGTAAATCTTAAATATAATGTACATTTTCTAAAACTTGTTGGGAATTCTGGATAAATAACTTAATTTGGGTAAAGATTCCATCATCATTAGGGTAAAATACTAAATATTCTACAG